CCTGTGAGAGTTTGGACATGGCTGAAGGGATACCTAATTTTACTTCAAAGCCTTGTTCGCCCAGAAAGAGCAACTTGACAATAAAAAAAGATTGATCCAAGAGTGACATGGTGGGGCGACAACATAACAAGATGCCACAAACTCTAAAGACACGAAATACCCTCTTCTCTGGAAAAGCAATATGCATATTCCAAGTTCATGGTAGCTGATAAAGCGTTCCCAAAATAATTCTATAGGGCTTCAATCTGAAGGAAAGGATAGATTGTTAGGCCAGTAAAAATAATTTAATTAATGAAATTATATGCATCATCCACAGTTACACTGCCTTCATTAAAAAACAAAAAACCGTAGGGGGCGCCTGGGTGACTCAGTCAGTCGGTTAAGCCTCTGACTTTGGCTCAGGCCATGAACTCATGTTTCATGGGTACAAGCCCTGCGTCAGGCTCTGTGCTGACAGCTCAGAGCCTGGGGCCTGCTTCCGATTCCGTGTCTCCCTCTCTTTCTGCACCTCCCCCACTCACACTCTGTGTGTGTGTCTCTCTTTCCCAAAAATAAATATTAAAAATAATTTAACAAATTAAGAACACATTTAAAGATAAGGCCACTTTCACTCTTTTATCTTTCCAGACCATTTTCCCTTTTTTACATATTTAAGTCCACATATATACGTGCAGAAAAAACTTAGTTCTTCTGTTTTATATTGTTTTGTGTTTTACGTAAATGCTACTTGAAATGCACTGTTCTGCCAAGGAGGGTTGTGTATGTGAGTTTTAGACCAACCTCATCCTCCTCCCTCTCATCCTTTTAAACTGCTGCAAAGTACTAATAAATGGCTGTTTCATGATTTCAGGAGACATTTTCCTATGGATGGATATTTACATTGTTTCTGATCGGTGACTTTTACATAGCATCATGTCTTAAACATCCATGAACATACCTCGTGGTGCATGCCTCCAAGATCTGTTTCAGAATGGATAATGAGATGTTATCTCTGGGATAACATCTGGGATCTGGGATCTCTGGGTCAGAGACAGCCCCACTGCCCTCCAAAGTGCCCAGACTAGTTTGCCTCCGAACAGCAGTGTTGAGAGTTCTCATCTCCCCACACCCTTTATGGTACATTCTGGCACGTCCTAAAGCTGCATTTTTCACAAAAATTCCACTAACCACACTTCACCCCACCTTTTCTATTAATTTGCAAGCAGTCCCCACTTATCCATGGTTTTGCTTTCCACAGTTTCAGTGACCTGCGATCAACCTCAGTCCCGAATCAACCCCAGTCTACACGTGGATGATCCTCCTCGTGGATCATTAACGGATTGTCAGAAGGTTGATAGCAATCTAGGACTACGTCACATGACTAGTCATCCCTCGCAATCCACCCTGTCACGTGGGCATTTTATCATCTCACATCATCACAGGACGAAAGGTGACTACAAAATATTGAGAGAGAGACAGACAGACAGAGAGACTCCACATTCACATAACTTTTATTACAGTATCTTGTTCTAACTCTTCTTTTGTATTGTATGTTATTATTGCTAATTTCTTACTGTGTCTAATTCATAAATGAAACTTTATCACATATATGTATGTATAGGGAAAAACATAGTATTTATAGGGTTAGGTACTATCTGCGTTTTCAGGCATTTGCTGGGGGGTCTTAGTATGTGGTCCCCACAGAGAAGGGGAGACTCCTATACTAAATGCCATCCATGAGGTTTGATGAGTCTTTGAATGAACTCTGATCAAGCTTGTAGAGCATCCATTTAACTCGCAAGTGCTCCTTTCTTTTGGCCTTTAGCTATAATATTCATTTAGCTAAACATTCATTAATTCATTCACTCAAAGGGAGTATTCATTTGCACTTAAAGGGTGACGTGGTCTAGCATAGGTTTCTGCTGATAGAAGACCACTCGGCTCCTTCAAGATTCTAGGTGTGGGCCAGAAGGCCACGGACCTGTGGAAGACAAGAGTTTTACAAGAAGGGCAAGTGCTTGCATTTCTAAGCCTCCTTCTTCCGGTTTCCGAAGTTGGCAATGGCAGGCTTTGCCTCACTCCCACAAGCTTCTCACCACAGGGGAATGATTCAACCAGCTTCGTTAAGTTTCCAGGCCTGGAGCTTTCCATTCCTATTCATGTTTACTGCTCTCCCTCCCATTCCTACCTGAGCATGGCTATTTGACAGGATAGAAAACTGAGGTGAAATGACATTACTCCCCTGTGGTGAGACCCAGATGGAAATCCAGGCCTACGAGGCTCTAAATTGTGATCTGCTTTAACACAGAGAAAGTTAAATAGAAAATTGGACAATAGTGACATGTGACAATGGGGGTGGTTGAAAGACTGTATCAGCAATGAGTGTGGGACACATCAGAGAGTTAATAACAAAATAAATTCATGTGTTACGGAGCATTGTGTGCAGTTTATGGAAAGGTATATGTGTAGTGGTTAAGAGCCTATAGTTCTGGGATCCCTGGCTGGCCCAGTGGGTAGAGCATATGACTCTCAATCCAGAGGTCATGCGTTCAAGCCCCATGTTGGGCTCCATGCTGGGTGTGAAAGAAGAAGAAGAAGAAGAAGAAAGTATATAGCCTGGAGTAAAATGGCTTGCATTTGGTCTTTGCTGTTATTATTGCTACTTTAAAGACAGCAAAAAGGAACTGGGGAGGTGAAGCAACTAACCCAAGGTCATGGAGTCCGGAGACCCGGACCAGAACTTAGGTCTCTGCCATCCTGTCTGGGGGATTCCACTCCTAGCACTCCCCCACCCCCCCAACCTTATTTAACACAGCAGAGGGGTCATCTAAGGCCCTGGAATGTCTGTGCAAGAAAAGGCGGGTCCAGGCACAATTCACACTCTTTCTTCCTGAGAACAAAAGAGGGATCTGTGCAAAAGAATTTCGGGAACTTCAGGGAAGCATGTGAAACATTCCAAGGCAGTTCAGCCCAGTTCCGTTCTAGCATGTGAATCTCTTTTCCCAATCTCCCTCTCTTCCACTCTGTCCTAGACCCAGCATCACATCACCGTCACCGGTCTTTGGACACCTACAGGAGCCTCCTATGTGGCATCTGCCCTCTGGCCCATTCTCACCAAAGCTGAAGACATATTTCTAGACATAGACCTGATCAGGTTTGTTCCCAAGATGGCGCCCCACAGCTCTAAGGACTTAGGCTGGTCTCCTGTGAGATCGGGCTGGAGCTGGGCTTTCCTTCCACTTCCTGCCCAAGCCCCATCAGATGAACTTCCTTCAGTTCAGCACTGCATTTGTCATGAAGTATTGTAACTGTGCTGTGTTCTTGCCTATATGTCCCACTGGAATCTGGGATTCCTGAAGGCAACCGCCCCCTTTGGTTTCGGGGTTATGCTGGGCACCTAGCACAGGGTCTGAGATGACAGTTACTGATCAAAGATAAATACGGGTGCTGGTTGACACTGAGCTTGCAGGTGCTGCTTTTGGCCATGGCCCAAGAGGAACTTGTGGGTAGAGAAGGCAATTATTAAGGGCAGAAACATTAGGAACATCCCCAGGCATGGCAGGATTGGTTTAGACGGCCAAGAGGAGGAGACGGCAGTAGCATGTCTATGGGAAGGGAGAGAGAGAGAGGAGCTGAGATGAGGGAGGAGAGGGTGTTAAGATAACTAAACAAGGAGGCCGTTAGACCTAGGTGGCTGCGATGCCTTATAACCACGTAAGTGAACTCAAACCCAAACCTAAGCCAGAGTCAATGCACTGGATTTCGAGAAAATGAAACTTAAGAACCAACCACAGTCAAATATGTTGCCCAAATAAGTCAACTGCTTATGCTACAACCAAGAAGTTAATTTTCTTGCTTAGCTTCCTGTCTTCTCTATAAAATCGTCTCCTCTAGTTCCTGTGGGAGAAGAGTCCCCATCCACCTTTGCTTTGGCACTGCTCGGTTACAATTCCAGTGATGTATGCTCAAATAAACCCTCAGAAATATTGGCATGCCTCAGTTTGCCTCTTAACAAAGGCATTATTGCAAGGGAGAGGAGGTTACAGATGGGATTAGGTTCTGGAGTAGGTGGGTGTGAATCAGAGTGACTAACTATCCTGGTTTGCCCAGGACTGTCCTGGTTTTAAAACCGAAAGCCTAGTGTCCCAGGGAACCCTTAGTTCAAGGCAAACCTAAGGGCGGGCGGGGCGGGGGAAGTCACCCCCGAGCGGAATAAAGATTACTAGAGTTGCCGGAAGTTTTGGACAAGGGCAACTTCTCTCTTGATTTGTGAGCATGAGAGGGGCAGAGAAAGGAAGAATTAAATAAACAAAGTGCCCAGGCTTTGGAACCAGGGCAAAGCTCTGCTTCTTTACCGTGTGATATTGTTGAAAATTCTTAACCTTTCAGACAAGTTTCGTGTAGTATAGGGATAATTAAACAAGACTGAGCCATGTGAAAGCACCTACCCCATCTGTAGGCTCATAATTAGAGTGAAATTAAAGAAAAAAATTTTAAATCTTTATTTTTGAGAGAGACACAGAGACAGAGAAAGAGACAGAGTGCAAACAGGGGAGGAATAGAGAGAGAGAGGGAGACACAGAATCCAAAGCAGGCTTGAGCCTCTGAGCTGTCATCACAGAGCCCAATGCCAGGCTCGAACTCAGGAACCGTGAGATGATGCCCTGAGCCGAAGTGGGAGGCTTAACTGAGCCGCTCAGGCGCCCCAGTAGAGTTAAAGTTTTTAATTTCCTTTCTCTCTTCACTTTTGCTGCTACTCTCGTCTCTCATGTTTCAATTCTCCCTTTTCTCTCCTTAACCTTTCCTTGCTTCGTTCTCTAGGGCCAGTGGCTCCTCAGTCAGCACCACCCACCACCGGGGGGAAGAGCCGAGCCAACAAAGACGGGTGCCCCTCTAGCTCTCCCAGACGAGCTCTCTATGGTGCCTGCCCAACGAGCCGCGCGGAGGGGGCGGGGTTCCGTCACGTGACCCGGGTCCCTGGCGCCCGCGCAGGCGCGGTGGCCGCGTCGCCGTCGCCGGGCTCCGTCGCCCGCGTCGCTTCGCTTTCTTGACACCTGAGCCGGCCGCCCGGCGGTTCTGCGGCTTTCCGTCTTGCCGCTGCGGGCCGCGAAGCGCGGCCATGTCCCGAAAGCAGGCGGCGAAGGGCCGGCCGGGCAGCGGCAGCCGGAAAGCCGAGGCCGAGCGCAAGCGGGACGAGCGGGCGGCGCGCCGGGCCCTGGCCAAAGAGCGGCGGAACCGGCCGGAGTCCGGCGGCGGCTGCGAGGAGGAGTTCGTCAGCTTCGCCAACCAGCTGCAGGCCCTGGGGCTGAAGCTGCGGGAGGTGCCGGGGGACGGGTGAGGCGGGCCCGGGAGCGCGGGAGGCGGCGCCGGGGGACGCGCCGGGCAAGGCGACCGTCGCCCGCTCTCGTCCATTCATTCCGGCGGCTCCGGGAGCCACCGCTTCCCAGTGCGGGGGGTCCGGTGGCGGGCGAGGCGGCGAGGCCCCTCCCCTCGGGAAGCTCGAGTAATCCCAAATTGCCCTAACGGTGGCAGAGGCGGCGAGGAACCTGTGAAGTGGTCCTAGGAGACGGCACTGGAGCTGGTCTTCTTTAGACCGGTGCCCAGGAAGGCCTCTGAGAGGTGACATTTAAGCTGAGACCCCGAGGAATAGGAATGAGATGGAGCCGGTCCCTGGCAGAGCAGGACAGCACGTAGGGCTGTCGGGAAGATGCTGAGACACAGAGAAAGAGGCCAAGCCCTTCTTTGAGTTCTTAACACTTTGCCCCCTTTGAGTTCTTACTGTTCGGTGTTGCCCTCTTGCACTCGGGAAATTAGGTCTGTGAAGGCCTCTTGTTTTTTTACTGAGCGGAGGGAACTTGTCTAGTTCTTACTTTCATGGGCCTCAATCTCTCCTCTGATGCTTACCCGAGCTTGCTTGGGGGCCTAGACTGGAATCTAGGGCCAGCTTTTTTACGGAACACAGGCTAAATAAGTGTGGGGGGAGGAAGAAAATGGGGAAGGGAAGGGGCTTTGGACCCAGGAGCATGGATGGCAGAAGGGAAAAGGAAGGGGGAGGGGAAGGAGAACAGCTAGCATCCTCACTGCAGGGGTGGGTGAAAGGGAGTCTGGTTACCGGGGTGTGTCACTCTGACAGTATAAATAACAGCCTGGCCATTCTTGTCGGTCCTTTATTTGAGGGCTCAGGGCAGAGGGGGGGAATAAAGTGGAATTAAAGACCGTGTAGAATTGCCTCACTTGTTATGCATAGGGAAGATGGTGTTTTTTGGATTTCACATTTACATTGTAACTTACTAATCAAGACTGTTTATGAACTGGCCCTAATTTACGTAGCACACCTTTCCTACCTTCACTTAGTGCTTAGGCACTTGGTGTAGAGCTTGGTTGCGTTTTACTCACCACCACCTAGCATGGTGCCTGGTACATAGGCGGCACTCAGTGCAGTTTTGTCTGAGTGAATGATAAAAATATCACGGAGGCCCAGTAGACCCTCAGCAGGGCCTCTCACAAGGACATTTTCCTCCTTCCTTCCTTCCACCCTCTCTCTGTTTGTTTGTTCGTTTGTTCCTTCTTTTCCTTCCTTCCTTCAACCCTCCGTCTGTCCATCCCTTCCTTCCCTCCAGAGCAGGGGAGGGGGCAGAGGGAGGGGGGGAGAGAGAGAGAGGGAGAATCTTAAGCAAGGTCCACGTTGAGCATGGAGCCCGACGAAAGGCTCAATGCCGTGACTCTGGGATCATGACCTAAGCCAAAATCAAGAGTTGAAGGCTCAACCGAGCCACCCAGGCACCCCTCAAAGGAACGTTTTCTCAGTGGAGTCACTACAATTCAGGTCGTGTATTGCTGTGTCTTGCTTTTAGCCTAGTACCGGGATTTCACCCAAAACAGTTTATTAGCTATTCTGGGCCTTACTCATCCTAGTCAAACTCACAAGCACAAGACTCTGCTGTGTAAACCAGAATACCAGTGGAATACGCTACACTGGGGTTGGGGTGGCACTGTATGTGCCATGTAGGTGGATTGCTTGTGTCTGTCATAGTGGACATACTGTCAGAGTCAGGGCATCCAGGACCCTGAAGTACTCAAGGTTGCTTATGAGTAGGAATCCCAGCGCAGGGAATTGTAAGATCTCGAGGGAGCTTCCACAACGCTGTGGGAAACTTTGGGAGGCATTACCTCTGCTCTGGCGCGCCCCCAAGAGAACACCCTTCTTTAGTTAATTCGGCAGATGTTGGTTGAACAAAGTGCTGGGAATCTATTGATGACTAAAATACTGAAGGAGTTCGCAGCCTCGTGAAAGATAAATATGTTAATGGGCTCAAACATTTTGGTCTAGGGACCCCTTTACACTCTTCAAGATTACTGAGAACTCCAAAGAGCTTTAGTTTATGGGTTATAGCTGTCAGTATTTACTGTATTTGAAAGTAAAACAGGAAAATTAGAAACCCAAGAATACACAAAGGCACATTCCCTGACTGTCAGAGTGATGACCTCATGCTCAGGTAGCCTCTGGTGTCTTCACTGCACACTTGTAAGAGAATGAGAGCAAAAAAGATAAGGCACATCTTCGTTTTGAGCTCAAGAATACATTGAAAGGGTCTCAGAGATATGCACCCCCCCCCAAGCCCCCAACCCTGGGCCACCCTTTGAGAATGGATGATATGAATCAAGTCCAGTTTGGTATATTTTTATTTTTTTTATTTAAAAAATGTTTAAATGTTTTTATTTATTTCTGAGAGAGAGAGAGAGACAGCACGAGCAGGGGAGGGTCAGAGAAGGAGACACAGAATCCAAAGCAGGCTCCAGCCTCTGAGCTGTCAGCACAGAGCTTGACATGGGGCTCGAACCCACAAACTGTGAGATCATGATTTGAGCCGAAGTCAGATGCTTAACCGACTGAGCCACCCAGGCGCCCCAAGTTTGGTATATTTTTAACAATGACTGATTATAGTACTATTGAGCAGGAAGTGGCCAGCACTCCCCGAAGGGAAGGCTGTCTCTTTCATTCAGCAAATGTTTATGAAACTTACACGGTGCTAGATGCCTCTCAGAGGAGGCCCTACTCAGACTGGGTCATGAAGGCCCAGTAGGAATATGCCAGGAGAACATTTCAGGCTGAAGACTAATATATGTAGAGGTACAGGAGCCCGTTATTTTTGAGAGGTATAAAGTTGTTTAGGACGACAGAGTATCAGGTTACAAGGTAGAACAGTGGCAGCGAGACCACAGAGGCCAGCTTGCCCGGAATGTTCATGTCTCTCCCTTCCAAGGTCCTTGTTCTTAAGACAGTGTTAGATCTAACAGGATGATGATAATTCCTTCTGTGGGTTCCATGAAGCTTCCCCTCCCCCCTCTGTGTTCACAAATTCTCCCCTTGGGTACCATGAGACAGACTGTGGTTCAGCCCTCTGGTTTTGTGGCATTTTGGAGATGCTGATGACAGCCTTTATTGCTGTGTGGTGGACGGTGTTTCCTGTGTATGGGATGGGTTCGTAGGTACCAACAGAGTCTGTATTCATATTCATTGAGTACTCTTGGTGAAACATAATAAAGTTATGGTGATATTAAAAAGTTGACAGCCTCCACTCTTCTTCCATTCTAGTCTGATAACAACATTGAGTATCCTGAAGTAGCATCTTGCCGTGGAGGCATATTCATTATAGGCAGTATGGTACTTCTAGCATCCTCGAACCTCTGGGTACTTGAGGATAAATTAGCTGATGTCCTCTAATGTAGCCTTTATGTGAGTTGAGTCAATTTAGCGTAGAGTAATCACGGAGCTATTTATAGGGTTTTGTAATGCATCACGGGCCACCTTCATATTTGTCATGTTGTATGGATCCACATAAGTTGGATTGTTTCAGAACAAGAAAGAAATGTTAACCTTGGTATTGTCCTTAAAAACATGATCGGCTACAGTGTGAAAAGAATCTCTAATTGGATTAGGCAGTACAATAGTAGCATCTCTCTGAACTTTATCCATTTGCATCTTACTAAATATTGCCCTAAGTTACATTACTAATTAGTGTTCTAAAATTAAAACATTAAAGAATCACTAATTTTAACCATTTAATCTCTGTCCTAAACAAGTTATTTTATTTTTTTATTTAAAAAAAATTTTTTAATGTTTATTTTTGAGAAAGAAGGGTGGGGTGAAGGGGTAGAGAGAGAGGGAGACACAGAATCCGAAGCAGAGTCCAGGCTCCCAAGCTGTCAGCACAGAGCCCAATGCGGGGCTCGAATTCACGAACTGCGAGATCATGACCTGAGCTGAAGTTGGACCCTTAACCGTCTGAGCCACGCAGGCACCCCCACAGGTTATTTTATTCTTCTAATTTTTATTTTGTTTTTATAATCCTAGGATTTTAATGATGGAAGGGTATTCACACATCATCTTGTATAATTATCCACTGGTACCTGCATCCCCTGTATAGCAGATCTGGGTCTAGCTCAGTGCTTTTCAACTGTGTGGGCGCAATAGAATTGCTTTGGGAACTTTGGAAAAAATACAGGGTCTGAGCTCTCCTAGATCAGCTTTGCCAGAATCTCGGGCACCGGGGCCTGGTTATTGAGAATTTTAACATGTCTGCAGGTGATTCTGGTGGGCAGCCATCATTGCAGACCCACTGATTTAGAGTCTAGAGTCTAGGCTAGGGTTTCTCAAACTTCAGAATGTGACAGAATCATTTGGAGGAGCTCAGTTGCTAGATTGCCCCAGGTTGTCTGACTCAGTAGGCCTGAGGTGAGACCTGAGAATTTTCATTGCAAATAAGTTTTCAAGTAGTCAGAGATTACACTTTGAGAATCAGTGATCTAGACTGGTGCCAGTCTAATAGAAATAATACAGGACCCAATGTGTAATTAAAATGTTTTCCATTGGCCATGTTAAAAAAGTAAAAAGGAAATAGGTGACTAATTTTAATATATATATTTATTCCACTATTTGTTAAAATATTATAATCAATCAACATGTAATCAGTATAAACATTTTAAAAGATATTTTATATCTTTAAAATACTATTAAAAATCCAGTGTCTTAAACTTAGAACATGCCTCACTTTCGACTAGCCACATTTCAAGTACTCAGTAGTTATACATAGCTATTGGCTGTGTTTTGTACAGCACATAAATGTAGACAATTCCTGAGGATTGCTGACAGATAGACATTTACAGGATCCTTAGTTTACAGTCTATTTCCGTAGAGCGAAAACAAGATTTCCTCTCTTTTGCCCAAATCTGTGTCTCTGGAGCTCCCATGTTTTAGTTTATTGTACAGATGCAGCATCCCTTTGATCATGACACGTAGTCGGAGGTAGCTCTCACGTCCCCCTGAGCCTTTTTTGGGCTCAATATCACTAGTTATTGATGCCCTTCATGTTGTGAATGAAGTTTAAAGCTGCTGCTTCTCTGCACATGTCTCTCTTAAAATGTGACTGGAATCATATGTAGTGCTCTAGTCTGACCGCAAAGATGACTACAAACCCTGCCCCTCCTCCACCCCAGCCTACCCTTTCTGGACACTTACTACTGTTACAGTAGCCTACAAGGCCATTGTGGTTCTTTGGATGGTAGACGCAGAAACAACATTCTCTCAAACTACTGAGCACCCAGCACTCTTACATGCTACTTAATGTAATTGCTTATTTTTGTGAACTCAAACGCAAGACCTTCCATATATCCTGATAGTGCGGTGGTTCTCAAGTGGAGATGATTTTGATGCCCTTGGGGCACTTTTGGCAATGTCTGGAGACAGTTCCGGTTGTCACAACTGGCAGGGAGGGAGGCGGTGGTGGTGCTACTGGCATCTAGTGGGTAGAGGCAAAAGATGCTCCGAAACACTCTACGGTGTACAGGACAACCCCACACCACGGAATGATCCCAATGTCAGTAGTGTGGGGGCGGAGAAGCCCTTCCGGAGGGTTATGGGTGAGGGTGTGGGCTCGGGAAGCAGCTGGGATCTTTTAGAGGGCCTTTGGGTTCTGGTCACATTGTTTTTAAGGGTAGCCTGAGTGCCCCTGCTGGGCCCCCTAAGGGTACCCACTACACTAAGGATGTAGCGTTTGCTCACTTTTCCCATGTCACTACCTTGTAACTCTGTCAGAAAAGAAAGTGATTTGTCTACCTTGATTTTTCGTTTTGACTATTTATAGTAAACTCAAATAAATATAGAAAAATATATTGAAAGACGTTTAACAGGTACTGCTAATTTCACTATCTAGGGATAACTGCAGCTAACACTTTGGTGCCTGGGTTTGAATCCTGGGTCTACATCTACTGGTTTTGTGACCATGGATAAGTTACCTTAGAGGGATAGTGGTAGTACCCATCCCACAGAGCTGTGAGGACGATCCACATCTAATGCGGATAGAATAGTCCCTGGCACATTGTAAGAGCCCTTTAAGTGACAGTTTCACTGGTTTTCCTTGTGTACATATGTGTGTGTTTCTGTGCTTGTGTATATGCAGTGTGTAGATGAACATGGTCAAGCTCATGCCGTGTACATAGCTTTATCCCTGGTTTTTGGCGTATATGGAGAACAACTTGTCACTGAAAGTTCTTAGCATATTACTTTCTGTAGAATACTGTGAACTTAATGTAAAATAACTAAATACGTAATTTGGTACTAAATCACACCTCTTAAACTAGATTCAAGAATAGACTGACTAGTGGTGGCAGGTACTAAATGTGTAAAGGAGTTTGAGAGAAGCACTTAAAATTGAAAACATTCCATCCATTAACTTACTTTTTTTTTTCTTCCTGTGGGTGAAAATATTTTAAGCAACAGACACCTCAGGGTAGTGTATAGAAATGGCTGTCCAGTCTGTTCTAGAATCTTGCCCCAGATGGATGCATAGTTTCTTGGTTTCTAGTTTATAGAATCTGCATGCTTTAAATCTCCTCCTCTCCCTTTGCGAAAAAAAAAAAGATCTATATATTTATATATGTATGTATGTATACGTATGTGTATATACATCCTTATACGTTTGAAGAGATTTCTGCCTTCTCTGTAGCTTTCCGTTGAAAACTCACTTTTCTGAATTGAAAACAAAAAAACCTCTTTCTCCTACACATTTAGGTCTGAAGTTCTAAAGTGAAGAGTTTATATTTTGTTATTAGACTCTCCTAAATTTTCATTTGGAAGAGTGAACAGTTGGGTACGAGTCTGTCTTACTACCTTAGTTTTAAGGATACTGGATGTGGTGGTCTTATTTCTGTGTGCGTCTGGGCTCTGTGTGTGTGATGAGTTTGGAATTTTAGAAGCCTTTGAGGGGCTTCCAAGTAAAGATAGCTCTTAAAGTTTATTACCAGCATCTTAATTTTAGAAGATGTGTTTCAGGTTTCCATTGGGCGGGAATGGCAATGGCGTTGTGGCTCCCTGGTGGGGAGGAGAGGAGCCAGGGAGGGAGAGTGTCACTGCGTAGTACAGGTGTGTGTTGTCCACATGGTTTCCTTCTCATTTTCTCCATTATGTTCCTAGCACTCAAACAGGATGTAGAGTTCAATTGCTTGTACTGGGAGCTTGACAGATTGCCATCTTTTGGGTACTCTTTGTTAGATGAGTGGTTAGCTGGGCAGCTGTAGTGGAGTTTGTTTCAGAAAAGAAGCAGTAGATACAATTTATTATTTTGGAAGGGGCTCTAGGAATCCCAGTCCTGGGGTGTGGAATAGCCTGTAACAGTCTGCACCCTGCCTCGAGGTGGTTAGTGTATCACCACCTCCAGGAGGTTCTAGTTGGTTGCCTCTCCAGAAGGTAACGTGGTTGAAGGCCTGCCTAGTGCTCTCGGCACGGTGTTTGGCGAGAATCCTGGACTGTCAGACTTGAGGCTTTCTCTCTGCGTGAAGGGTTTCCATGGATGGCCTCGCCGTCTTCGTGGCAGATGAACTAAGTTCTTTTTTCAGAGGTCTTGACTGGTATTTTTGTTTTGATAGCAATTGCCTGTTCAGAGCGCTTGGTGACCAGTTGGAGGGACACTCCCGAAATCATCTCAAGCACCGACAGGAGACAGTGGACTACATGATAAAACAGCGGGAAGATTTTGAACCCTTTGTAGAAGATGACATTCCTTTTGAGAAACACGGTAGGTTCACTGTGGGACACTGGGTCCTCTGGAATAAGGCGTTGGGTAATTACATCCATCAGCATCCCCCGCCCTCCCAGCCAGGGGTCTGCTGACATAAATTATGGCAGTCATGTATTCAACAAGTACTTATTTGTTCGCTCTGTAATAGGCACAGGCTAGGCAGTTGGGAATTAGTAGGTTCAGGTATGTGTACCTTTAATAAAAATAATGATGTTTTTAACCCAAAAAGTTGTTTATGACTTCTTAGTCAGGGGGAGGTGAAAGCAGACTCTAAAATGTATGTAGACTGATCTTATTTTTAAAAGGTGTATACACACACACACACACACACACACGGAAAAGTGGACAGAGACTAATATTTATGGCTGTTGATGCTTGGTTCCAGTTATTTTTTAGAACCCACTCACTTTCGATAGCTTCTATTAAGGAAAGATAACAATAACGCCTAATTTATAGGGTTTTTGTGCAGATTAAATTAAATCATACAGTTAAAATAAGTTTTAATAAATGTCAGCTATCTGGGGATGGTGGGACTATGACTGTTTTAAATGATCTTCTGCATATTTTTCTGATTTTTTAATGACCATGTATTGCTTTTATAATCAGAAAAAGCAATAGTCACTTTAGTTTCTCATCAAAAACCCAAACATTTCTTTGAGGCAAGTTAGTGATTTATTTACTTATTTAAAAAATTTTTAAATATTTATTTTTGAGAGAGAGAGGGCACACGAGCAGCGGTAGGGCAGAGAGAGAGGGAGACACAGGCTCTGAGCTGTCAGCACAGAGCCCGACATGGGGCTCAAACTCATGAACCGTGAAATCATGAGCTGAGCCAAAGTTGGACGCTTAACTGACCAAGCCACCCAGGTGCCCCTACAAGTTAGTTATTTAAATTAGTTCTTAATATGCTCAAATCTAGTAGGAAAGTACATATGAGCTTTTAAACTTTAACAATCTATTAAAGCAGGGGTTGATAACATTTGTATTTTACAACTAACATTTTCATCACACAGTCAAGAGTCTTATCTGTCCCTTACGAGGAGATAGAATTGTTCTGTGTTTTAGAGACTAACTCTGGAAACCATGTCCAGAGAGGATGGGAGAGAGACTGGGGAGGAGGGTGAGTTGGAAGGCTCTCCGCATTGGCCCAATGGAAGCATGAGAGGATCTCCCCCAAGGCCACTACTGGGGACAATGAGTAGGGTCCAGACCAAGACACAGCTTGGCAGTGTGCCTGACAGATCTCATTGGAGGTGGGGAGGAGGGGAGAGGAGGAGACCGAGGTGATTCTGGAGTTTCTGCCCTGGGAATGGCTAGGTAGCTGGATCCTTAGAGGATGGCAGGGGGAAGACCTTTGAGAGGGAAGCTATCCATGACCCCAAAGCCTTTCTCATTTCTCACGAGGGAAGGGCTCCTTCACGAGGCAGCAACAGCAAAAGAGACACAGTAGCAGAACCCCCCGCCCCCAGCCCCGCATGGCTGGTCTGTACGAGTGACTGCGTTCTGACAGTTCCTCTCCCTGGCTCACCTCTGTCTAGCAGATGCCAGTTTACCAGACGGTCACCTGTTTACAAGTGTGGGTTCATGGAGCAACTTTTGTAGTTGAGTGCTGTATAAAATGCCTTGTGTCATTGGTCCAATTTAAAGAGAATTTTTTCTGAAGAGCGGCTTTAGTGTGTAAACTCAAAATTCCACTCTGAATACCTTCAGCGAAGGTCACACGGTAGATTTGGGTGGGGGGTGGCAGGACAAGGAACTCAGACCTTCGGTCACCAGTGTGACAGTCACTGTGGATGTACAATGGGAAGGTGTTTTTTTTTGAAATGCCACTGTGTTTGCCTGATGGTTGGTCGGTGTTGTGGAAGGATCTGACATCGCAGGAGTTGAGAGGTGGCTCTGACTGGCGCAGCAGAGGAGAGGACGCTAGAAGCCTGCGCTTGCCAGTTGCACGTCGGTTGAAGACTATACTTACAGTTACGTGTTTTTAATGCCTGTCTACCTTTTTATACTCGAGATTGTGGAGGGACAAGGACGTGTCTGTCCCCCACTTGCTAGGCACTCACAAGATACTTGTTAAGTGAGTAAGTGAATGGTTTCCTTAACTCTTTAGGGCCTGGTTGCCCTGATGTGTGGCTGTATTTTTTAGGATTATTCCTTTCCTTTAGACTCTGGCTTCTCCAACTATACGGAGACCCTCTCTCCCTCTCTCTCCATACCCAGTCATTCACTGCTACCCCTCAGTGTCTTTTTCTCTCTCACCTCTTCTGCCTCATAAAATCAAGCCTCTGTGGCCTTTTGCCTAGATTTCTTCGATATTCTTTGGACTGATTTCATCGCCTCTTGACCCCTTGAGTTTGTTTTCCACGTTGCAGCCAGGGTGGTGATCTAAATGTACATCTAATACATCTTCCATCATCTAAAACCTGGTGGCAGCTCCCCACGGACCTCCAGATGAAGTCTAAACTCCTCAGCTTTTATTTCTCTACCCTTGTCTCTTGCTGTTGCTGCTGTGTCTTCTGCTCCCCCCAGTCCCCTGTGCGTCGCCACTCAGTAGTGTAAGTTCCTGCCGCGAAAGCTCAACCTCCCTCTCTTTCTCTCTTTCTCTGTCGCCCGCCCCTGCTGGGAACATCATCTGTTCTTCTTCTGTCTCCTGCTTGGTCCTTGGGAGCCGGTGCAGTTGTGTCAGCTGAGAAGTTTACCTGATACCCTTACCTCCCCCTCCCGCTGCCAGGCTGGCTTGAGGTCCTGATCTGGAGTTAGCCCAGTGGCAGAGTTTGAGGGCACAGTCTTCTGCAAGATACCAACTGCAAATCTGGGGTTTCCAAAAGCCACTCAGAGGTTCGATAGTTTGTTAGAAAGACTCAGAGAACTCTGTGAAGGCCGTTATACTCACAGTTACAGTTTATCATAAAGAAGGGATACAGATCAAGATTAGCCAAGGGGTAGAGTCTGAGAAGGTTACACAGTCAGAATATTGCCCACCAGGGAGCTCACATACACTTCTGTGATTGGATTATTGGGGCTTCATTATGTAGATATTATTGACTGATGGCCTGAGTCTCCAGCTCTCAGTCCCCCAGGTCTTCCTGATATCACATGGCCAGAGAGGCCCACCATGCGTCACCTCATGAGCATAAACTGTCAAGTGTGGCTGAGGGGCCCATCATCTTGCCCTTGGGACATTTCAAGGGGTTAGAGGCTTATTACCCAGGAGCCAGGGACAAAGGCCAGACCTCTCTGGTAAGGCCAGATTCTGTCCTATACATCCCTTTCCTGCAGCACTTCTGCAGTGGCGCCTCTTTCCTTGTTGCCTGCCCCCCACTGGTGGTAGACTCCTGGAGCTCAGATTGTGACAGGCTGCGTAACGCCGTGGCCAAGAGCCAGGTCTTAGATTCAGACTGCCTGGGATGAAATCTTGGCTCTGCTGTGACCTGGCTCTGTGACCTTGCGCACAGTTATAAGCTACTCTAAGCCTTGGTTTCCTCATCTAGAAGGTGACGTGCGGAGGATATCTCTTTGAGAGAGTTTTGAGGATTACAAGTAATAATCCAGACATGAGTGGAGGAGCCGTGCTTACCACATCATAAGCACTCATTAATGCAGACTTAAGATTACTCTGGTTATTGTTCCATTTCCAGTGTCCTTCAGAGTTAGGGATATAGGAAGCATTCAGTAAGTATTTATGGAGGAAGAAAGGAATCCTTTCTTTATGAATGTCCAGTACTCTTCTGAGTAGCAGTTGATGTACTACTGTCCAGCCGGCTGAATTCCTAGATTCTGACAAAGCTAATGGACTTCTCAGCCGTATACTTTGTCCCTTACCATTTGGAACTAAATAAATAGCGAAGCATGTTTGCATTTGGATTTTTCCATCATAAAGACTTCATTTTTCTTTCTCCTGTTTCTATGCAGTGGCCAGTTTGGCAAAGCCTGGCACATTTGCTGGCAATGACGCAATTGTAGCCTTTGCAAGAAATCATCAGTTGAATGTGGTGATTCATCAACTTAATGCCCCTTTGTGGCAGGTAGGTCACCTACTGAGGGATTTATCTTAAACTCTTATTGATAAATTAGCTTTGGGGGTGTCCTGAGATTGTGCAGCAGGGTCCCTTGGACTGCAGGCTTAACCAAAGGTGGGAAGCTGCTGGTGGCTTGGACTTCAGCCCCGGGCCATGTACAAATGGAGTCTGAAGTAGAATTCAGAGACCTTTAAGATGTTATTGAGCAAGGTGATGGGGATGCAGGAGGGCACATGTTGTGATCAGCACCAGGTATCGTACCAAAGTGTTGAATCACTAAGTTGTACACCTGAAGCTAATAATACACTGTATGTTAACTAACTGGAATTTGAATTAAAACTAAACTAAATAAATATAAGTGTGTGTGTGTGTGTGTGTGTGAGAGAGAGAGAGAGAGAGAAAGAGAGAGAGAGAGAGGTACTTGTATGTAATTCAACAGTCAGTTAACTGGGGAGTTTGAGGGTGGAGAGCCTAACGTGGAAATACTGTAGATAACTCTGTTAAAAATATTGACATGGAGGCCTAACTTAGCACATACACGTTCTGGTTTGAAGGATGCCTGTTCCACGTGTATGTTTTGTTTTTTAGGTGGAGGGAAACAAAAACCAAATGCACGTAATAAGCATCGCTAACAGTGTTCTGAACAACAGAATCTGTTTCATGGCCTAGGACGTCAGCCTCTGTTTCTGGGCTCTGCTCAGCTATACGTAATGGTTTTAATAGTTTTTCTACAGCAAATAAGACTTTATGACAAACGTTCGATATGGCCTCCCAGCCCCTGTTGTGAGTGCCCATCCATTCAACTGTTTCCATTCCTCTTTACCTTTGGTGTCCTAAATGAGCCTCATCTCCCCCAAACAGTCCATCGGACCGGACATTCTGGAGCATGGAAGGTCACAGGTCAGGGGGAAAGTGTCTCCAGGCCACCCCCCGTGTGCTTGCTGCTTGCATTCAGACCACTCCTTTCACTTTGCGGCTCAGCTCCTGAAGACTGTGCCTAGGACCTCTGTCAGTCCTCCTGCCCACCACTCCCCCATTTCTCGTTTTGGTTTTTGTTTTTTTTTTTTTTTAATTAGCTGAAACCTGTTAATCATAGAAAAATGTGAAAATTCAGAAAAGCCCATAAAGGCAAAAATCGCCCAGGGTCACGTTATCCAGAGATGATTACTGTTACCATTTTAGTGTGTGTCCCTAGCATTCACATGTACTTGTAGCTGAAAACATTCATGCCCAACTGAGAAGATATGTGCCACCATGGTTTTAAACATAGTTTAAACACCCCTATAAAAAGTTTAAAAATAAGTAAAATAAAATAACAATAAAAAGCACCTCTGCTCATGTAGTCCTGCCCACATGTGCGTATACACACACTTATGCATCCCTGTATGTTCTTGGCCTCATAAAGGCAATGGCGACTTTTATTTCTCATTTTTTTCATAGACCACCTGCACGCATATATTCTTTTGTAAGCGCTTATTTCTAGCCATCGCTCACTAAAAATAAAGTCTATAGAGATACAATTATGGCTAGTGGAATTCACCCTTCTCTAGTGTGTATGTCCATGTGTTTTGACAGACGTAGTCCTGTAAGTACCACTGTCAACATACAGGTCCTTTCCCCCAGCCTAAAAAGTCTCTCCCTGCCCCTTTGTGGTCACCCGTTCCCTCTCCCCATTCCTTGCTTCCTGCAGCCACCAATCTGTCTCTCATAGTTTTGCCTTTCCAGAACATCGTATCAGTAGAAACAGATAGTCTTTTGTGTCTGTCTCTGTAATGAATTTTAATAAAATTGTATTACAACAAAGTAAATTAGATACTCCATGGGCTGGCGCAGGATACAGTGAGCAGGAGGGAGCCGGTGACTGTGTGTGTCGTTTTGGGGGCAGTGTTGTCAGATGTGCTGACCCCAGGGAACGCTCTCATATTTTGTGAGACTCACTCTTTCTAGGGATGGTCTTTGAGCCAAGAATACTGGTTTTGGCCTTCGGTGTCCCAAGTTTTGGTCATGAAAGTTTTACTGTTTAGCAGAAGTCATCGAAATCATTTGAACATACAGCATAATGACCCTCTTCTTGAAGAAAACACTCTGTGCCGACTTGGGAACCACAGCTGCCTCTCCCTCCATCGATAACTGGTTTTGAAAGTTTTGAAATGATCTAGGTGGTTGTAGCAGGTAATTTACATAGTTAAAATTTTATTTCCAAATATATTTTTGTAGTGTTCTTTTTCATGGATTGCTAAACATTGAAAGTATATATATATATATATATATATATTTTTTTTTTTTTTTTTTTTTTTGAGAGAGAGGTGGGGGTGGTAGGCAGAGAGTGTGCATGTGAGCGGGGGAGAGGGATAGAGGGGAGAGAAAGAGAATCTTAGGCAGGCTCCACGTTCAGCAAGGAGCTGATGCAGGGCTTGAACTCATGAACCATGAGGTCATGACCTGAGCTGAAATCAAGAGTCGGACGCTTAGGGTGCTTGGGTGGCTCAGCCGGTTGAGTGTCCGACTCTCGATTTCAACTCAGGTCATGATCTCATAGTTCGTGAGCTCGAGCCGCACGTTGGGCTTGCTGCTGTCAGCGCAGAGCCTACTTCATATCTTGTGTCCCCCTCCCCCTCTGCCCCTCCCCCACTCGTGCTCTCTATCTCAAAAAATAAAACATAAAACAAAAAAAAAAAGTCAGATGCCTAACCAACTGAGCCACCCAGGCGCCCCGAAACTATATGTTTTTAAAATGAATATATCTGCTGTGTAATGGAGCAGCTGTGTGCTGGATCCCCCCGTCTTCCCACTCCCCAGCGAGGCATCTTCTAACATTTAAGAATTGAAACTGCTCCAGTAGCTACTGTGTTGGTTAAGAGCTCTTGCGTGAATAACAAGTAGGCTTGCACTCACAGCATGGAGGTGCTGAGGCCTGCGTTTTTTCCTGGTCACAAAAGGAGCATGTGCTTCTGTGGGCAATACAGACATGTGTAGCCTAGAAAGCGAAAGTCGTCTGTAATCTCTTTACCCATGAACGTCGCTGTTAACAATTTGGTGACTATTCCCAGTATGTTTTTTCATTCATAATGTGTATATAGCGCTGTTATTTAAGTACGTACGTGCCTTAGGGAAAATGTTATTCAAAGATTCTAATCAACTAGTTTCCTTCCACAGTACTCTTCCTCAGAGATAAATGGTACCCGCTCTATTTTTTTATGTGTCAAAACCAGACTCTGTACTTTGAGACCTAGGTGTTCTCGCTGGAGGAGGTTTCCGTGGTTCTGACCTAGACTTGTTTAGTTCTGCTTGTTTCATGGCTTTGGCTGTGTTTTTAGAGCACACATACCGTTTAAATTAATGGTAGTATTTTACTACCTACGACTTTCAGTAAAAGCAAGAAGGAGGTGCTGATGTTTGGGGTTTTATCAAAGAAACAGTTACTGGGCTCTTTAGGGGACAGATTCAGAAAGACCTCAGAGTTTCAGCGGAGGTGGGGGCCCTCTGGGGGCATGCCTGGGCTGGGCTGTCCGCCTCTTCTTGTCGGGCTGTGCGCCATGGGTACGTTCACACAGACTGCCTGGGGAGTAATTCCTTCAGGGTTGTGTGCCGTGGTAGTACTGCTGCTCTGTATGTAATTTTGTTTTGACGTTGATATGAGTGGGAGATTTTTGAGCTTGTTCCTGTTAATGTTTCTTAGCATGTGGTTGATGGAAGCTGCTATTTTTGTTTGAATGATGGGTGGATTTACCGTGAAGCCAATAAAACCCAAGTGTCAGGTCCCTCGTTTTTATGGTCCCCTTTCAAGGTCTTGGGAGGAGTTCTAGCAATTTAATATTTGTAGTTTTGTATTTTCTCAAAGAGAGCCCCAAGCTGTTGGAGCTTCGAGCTCAACAAATCTGCATCTGCTCCCAGGCCTTCCATCCGGGAAAGGGCGTGTGCATTTGAGGGGCTGATGGGTGCAGACGCCCCTGAAGCTTAAGCCTATTTAATTTCATTGTAAATTTGCCCCTGGCTTTTCAGTGTGTGTTTTCATATGGATTTTTTTTCTGTATAGTTACATATTAATTAAGTGCATCAAAGCATACTTACATGGGCACCTGGGTGGAAGAAAGAGAATTGAGAAATTGTCTAAGCATTTTTTTTTTTTTTTAAGAGAAAGTCTTTATTTTTTCCCCACACAGTAAATCAGAGGCTAAAAACACAGGGCGCGCTGTCCAGGAGCATAGCACCGAATCCCTCGCAGTCAGATACCCGCTCTTCCGCTCTGGCTCCCTGGCACACCCCAGGCCTACCCTGAGTGTGTCTGCAGGGAACCTGTGGGCTGGCCTTCCTGGACAGTCCCGGTGGTGTTTCTCTCCCGCAGATGACACCATCCACCTCCTCGCTGGCATCTCTGTCCCCTTGTTTTGCCTGCAGATTCGTGGCACAGAGAAGAGCAGCGTGCGGGAGCTGCACATCGCGTATCGGTGCGGAGAGCACTACGACAGCGTGCGGAGGCTCAACGACAACTCGGAAGCGCCCGCTCACCTCCAGACTGATGTGAGTGAGGCCTCTGTCTTCTGTGTGCTCAGCCCCGGGGGAATCCTGCAGCTAAAAACCGGGGACGTTCTATGGAAAGTTGTCTCTAAGAATCTGTGGGCTTGATTAAAAAGAATTTAATTTTTAGCTCCAGGGAGATTGATAGATAAAATGACTGGTAGTTCTTATCCTTCCCTAGTAGATTTTGATAGCTATGACTGCATGAATAGAATTTATATAAAGTTCTCAAATTACTTTTATGTCTTAAAATTAACCCATGCTGGGGGCACCTGGGTGTCTCAGTTGGTTAAGTGTCCGACTTCGGCTCAGGCCATGGTCTCATGATTTGTGAGTTCGAGGCCCGCATCGGGCTCTCTGCTCTCAGTGCAGAACCTGCTTTGGATCCTCTGTCCCCTTCTGTCTCTGCCCCTCCCCTGCTCGTTCTCTCTCTCTCTCTTTCTCTCTCTGTGTCAAAAATAAAAACAAAACTTGAAAAGAATTCATCCATGGTTCGTATCTGAAGTTTGAAAAGTATAGAAAAAGTGAAGAAAATAAAAAGTACACAGTGTCACCCACATGGGCACAATGTTTGTTACTGTTTTGGTGTTTTAGATATAGCTGGGTTTCCTTTCCTGCTTTGTTCAGTTAACATTATTTCATGAGGCTTTTCTCACGTCATTACGTGCTTTCTTTTTAATTTAAAAAAATAAAGTGAAATTGCTCTTCCAGCGTTGTTCCCCTGCCTGAACGCAACCCATCTTATCTGTAGGTCATAAAATCTCTGGATGTATTTTCCCCATCAAGCAAACGTGTGTGCGTGTGCACATATTTCGCTTTTGCGCCCCTTACATGCTTGCTGCCCCTGACTGTAGCATCCTGCACAGACCATTGTGTGCCGTGCTTTTCAAATCTAACATATCTCAGAGTTTCACTCCTGGCAGCGCCTGAGGCGCTGTCTCAACTGTATTAAATGGCATGGCCGTGTGGCATTCCGTTGCGTGGATGCCCCGTCGCCTGCTTGCCCAGTCCCTTGGGTGGACTCGCAGATGGTTTTTACACCTTTGCTTTTAGAAGCCACATGTGGAGCCTTATATATACATCTTTTCACACTTGCATAAGTGCATCTGTGGGATAAACTCCTAGAAGGTCCTCACGGCGTCAGAGGACGTGTGCATGGATAGTTGTGACAGGTCTGCGCAGGCATCCCCAGTTTACACTCCCGCTCTCCGTGTGCGTCTCCTGCGTCTTTGCCAGCAGTGTGTCGTCACGTTTCCGAATCTTTGTCTGTGCCGTGGAAAAGATTGTCGTCTTCAAGTGTTAATTTGTGCTTCTCTTATTAGTGAGCTCATGCATCTTTCACGGGGTTTACGACCTATTTGTATTTCCTTTTTTTGTGAACTGTATTCCTTTTCTTTGCCCATTTTTTTCCCTATTCAGTTTTTTTTTTCTTCAGTGATTTTTAGGAGCCTTTATAAATTAGGGATTTTAGTCCCGTGAGTTGCCAGTATTTTTTTCACAGTCTGTCATTTGTCTTTTTATTTTATCCCCACTAGTCTTTGCAGTGATGGAGTTTTAGATTTTTATGAGGTTAAAACCTTTATCAAGGTTTTTTTTTTTAACATGCCTTCTGGGTTTGGGGGTCCTAATTAGAAATGTCTTTCCTACTCTGAGGTTAAAAAGAACTCTCCCATAGTTTATTTTAGTACTTTTGTGGTTTCATAACTCTCTCTTTGGAATTTATATTCATATAAGTGTGTGAAGGTGTAGATCCAACTTTATGTTTTCCCTTGTGGTTCCCTAATTGTACCCAAACCATTTATTTACTATATATCTTTTCCTCACTGACTTAAAGCACCCCTTTTCTCATCTATGAAATTCCCATATGTAGTTGGGTCTATTTCTGCATGTTGATTCTATTTCACTGTTTTTTCTGTTCATGTGTGTGTTGTTGTGATTAAGAGCATATTTTAAAATCTGGTAGAATTTTTCACTTATTTTCTTTCTTTATAATTTCTGCATATTCTTTTTTTGTTTTATATTTGAATATTAGAATAAGGTTGTCATGTTAGAAAGAAGTCCTGTTGCCTTCGTTTTCATTGGGCTCTCATTAATAGATTAAGTTCAGGAAAATGGACATCTTCATGGTGTTGAATCTTTCTAGCCAAGAAACTGATAAGCTTTTTGTTTAACTGACTTTTTTGGTGACCCCTACAGGGGCATTTCCTTTCTGGATCTTGCCCATTTTTTGCTGAGTTTTTACTTAGGTCTTCTGTGCTTTTTTTGTTCTATTGTAAGGAGAGGATCTCTCTCTTCTTTGTATTTCCTAGCTGGTTATCGTTTGTATATATGAGAGGTGTTAATCAAATGGTAGTTATGTGCACACCCAGCTGTCCTGCGGAATCCTGTCCTTTTTAAAAATTCAGGTAAAATTCACATAACATAAAATTAACTGTTTTAAAGTGTACAATTCAGTGCCGCTGAGTACCCCACAAAGCGGTGTAAGCCCCCTCCGCCATCAAGGTCCCAGACATTTCCCTCCCCAAAAGAGGAAACCGCATGGCCATTAAGCAGTCACTCCGCTGTCCCTTCCTCCCTCAGCCATTGCCAGTCTGCCTCATGTTGTTGTGGGTTCACTGGCTCTGGACATTTTATATAAATTGGATCTTACAGCGTATAGCCCTTTTGTGTGGGGCTCCTGTCATGTAGCATCATGTTTTCAAGGTTTGTCCACGTTAGTGTGTGTCAGTTATTTTCTTTTTAAGGCTGAGTCATATCCTGTCCTGCTGTTAGGTCCCATTCATGTATCCCTTCATCTGCTGACCGTCATTTGGGTTATTTTGACTTTTGGCTATTGTGAATAGTGCTGCTGTGAATATTTGTGATTGTATTTGAGTACGTGTTTTCAGGCTTTGGGATACATAGCTAGCTGTAAAATCGCTGGGTCATGTGTGTAACTTCTTGAGGAACTGCCATGCTGTTTTCCCTGGCAGCGGGGCCGTTTTACAATCCCACCAGTGAGGTTTTCAGGGTTCCACTTTCTCCACATTCTGATCAACACTTGCTATTTTTTTCTTTCTTTTCTCTTTAAAAAATTTTTTTTAAGTTTATTTATTTATTTATTTATTTATAATTTTTTTTAAATGTTTTATTTATTTCTTAGGGGAGAGAGAGAGAGAGACAGCGTGAGCAGGGGAGGGTCAGAGAGAGAGGGAGTCACAGACTGAAACAGGCTCCAGGCTCTGAGCTGGCAGTCAGCACAGAGCCTGATGCAGGGCTCGAACCCGTGAACCGCGAGATCATGACCTAAGTGAAAGTTGGACGCTTAACCGACTAAGCCACCCAGGCGCCCCATTTAGTTTATTTATTTTTGAGAGAGAGAGAGTGTGTGAGCAAGGGAGGGGCAGAGAGGGAGGGAGACAGAATTAGAAGCAGGCTCCAGGCTCTGAGCTGTTCGCACAGAGCCCTATGCAGGACTCAAACCCACGAACCGCAAATTCATGACCTGAGCCGAAGTCAGACACTTAACTCCACTGAGCCACCCAAGCGCCCCTCCCTGATTCTTCCTTTTTTAAAACAATGGCCATACTACTAGGTGTGTAGTGCTCTCTCCTGGCTTTGATCCCCATTTCTCAAATGGCTAATGATGTTGAACATCTTTTCACATATTTGTTGGTCATCCATATGTCTTTGGAGAAATGTCTGCTCAGGTCCTTTGCCCATGTTTTAATTGTGATATTTGTGTTTTGGTTGTTGAATTATAGGAGTTCTTTATATATTCCGGATACTAGATTCTTATAAATAATGAGTTGCCAGAATTCTTCTTGTTTGTGGTAGATTTTGGTCGATTCTTTTTTTTTTAAGGTATAGAATTATATTATCTGCAAATAAGGATAGTCTTTCTTATTCCTTTTCAGTTTTATACTTCTATTTTTTTGGGGTGGGGGGACTAATTGCATCTGCTCTTCCAAAACATTGTTAAATAATAGTGATAGTGAAAATCTTTGTGTTCCTTACTTTAATGGAAATTAATCATCGTACAGACTTACCCTGGTTATTTAACCATACCCACACTGTTACTTAACAACCCACAAACCCTGGGTTGTTTCCAGTTATTCACTGTTCGTAGCACTGTGGTGAGCACAGTGCTTAAATCCTTAAATCCTTACTATAGTTGACATTATTTGACATTATTTCCTTTGGATAAATTTCAAAGACTTGATGCACAGTACCAAGTTGTTCGGGTATAATTTTATAATAGGTCGCTTTTTATTTTAAGGAAGGTACTATACACCGTGGGATTCTCTTTCTACTTTTACATGCAAACAAGTAGAAATTTGTCCTTCCCTATTTCTCATCTCTCTGTGTTAATAGGAAGCAAAGAGAGAAGGCGATTGAGCAGCCACAGAGCCATGATTTTAGCTTTTCTGAAATAAGCTTCGGTCATCAAAGCCTTGTGGATACCAAGTGAACTGCTCTTTGTGTTTTTAGAATTTGCGGCAGGTTCCCTGGAATGGGGTGGTGTGTACCTGGGTAGGTGAGGTTAGATGAGTTGTGCTCCCCTATGACCGCAGCCAGGACAGGAACTTCACACCAGCACTTGTTGGTGATCAGATAGGGCTGAGGGACGCGGATAAGAGATTTCGTCTCTTCCAACTTGTCCTGCTGCAGAGGCTCATCGGGTGAACTTGTGTTACTAGGCTCCTGGCTCGGGAAATGGACAGACACATGTGTGCTCTTCGAGTCGGCAGTCCTTGCTGGAATGTTGGTATCCAGAAACTACGTAGGAGCTCTAATGCCATTCGTACTGAACCCCTTATCTCGGGCCTTTCTCTTTCACACTTCTCTTGTGGTCTGGAATCTCAGCGTCTGGATGAAATTGAGCCTCGTCATTGCCATTCCCCTAAGATTGTTTCTGGGATCTGTACCTCATAAGTATTTATTAGGTTGAGTTTTGAGATTCGAGTGTCTTCCTACATTGAAGATTCTGAACATAATTTGTTAATGCTCCATGATTGTTACTCTTTTTATTTCCTTTAGTTTCAGATGCTCCATCAAGATGAATCAAATAAAAGGGAAAAGATCAAGACAAAGGGTGTTGACTTTGAAGAGGACCTGAGAGATGAAGTAGAAGATGCTGTCCAGAAAGTCTGCAATGCCACCGGATGTTCAGTCAGTGTTTCTGTCCTGCAGTAGAAATGACGAATAACCAGGCCTTGCCGGGCCTGGTTTACCTGCTAGTTTTGTAGTGCTGACATCTGCGGGGCCAAAATAGGTTCATGATGCTTGTGGCTTGATTAGCTTGAGTGCTAAGCCTTAGTTTGAGTGCAAAGAGCTGTTTATTCATTTTTCTCTTGTTTGCTACCTTTTACCCAGTACTACTCAAAATCCCTAGAAGTATGTGGATTTTTTTCCCCCTCTGACTAGTGTTTACACTAGTAAAAGTGCAGTTTTATAAAAGAATTCATTTATATTAAAGGGTTATTTCAGGTGACCAGCCGTATTGAAAATTAAGACCTTTCCTAGATGGAAAAGGTCTTCAGACCATGGCTCCATTCTCACTGTTACATCTTTTTGTGCAGTCGTTGAAGTACAGGTCGCCGGAAGAACATACCCAGTCCTGAAGTGTTCCTTTGTTTCTTGGATAGGATTTTAACTTGATAGTCCAGAACCTGGAAGCTGAAAATTATAATATTGAATCTGCAATAATTGCCATGCTTCAGATGAACCAGGGGAAACGAAATAGTAAGTCCTCGATTGATATTTATGAGCTTTCAAGCTGGTTACCTTGGTGATTTTTCAAACATTTCATTGTAATCAAGTCACAGGTGGTAATTACACTGTCATTTGTTTGCTCACCAGCAGTTGTTTGTTGAGCACTTTGTACGTACGGGCATCATTTACTAGGTCCTAGCCCGTCATCAGGGAGAAGGTAATCTGGGGTCCAGGCAGGGGTGGGGGTGAGACATAAGTAAACAGATATAAGAAACAGATTGGGGTGGTGGAGGTGCGGGGCCCTGGGGGAATGCGTGAAAAGGTCACTTAATCCAGTCGCAGTGGGATGCACAGAGTCAGGAAGACTGTATTCTTATCGAAAGAAGAATCCCTTATGAAACCAAAATGATAACTGAAGTAGAGTGGAGAGAAGAGTTACTTATTTTTCTTTATTTATTTTTAATTTTGTAAATATTTATTTTTGGTATTTTTATGTAACTAATTTTTTTAAATTTACATCCAAGTTAGCATTAATGCAACAGTGATTTTAGGAGTAGATTCCTTATCTGATGGAAATTTTAGATTACTACCATCTATTAATGGGTGAGAATTCAGAATTTTCTTTACTTGAACTGGGTTTAATTCTGTGACTCAGAAGAAGGAAAAAGGGATGTGGAGTCTTACCGTTTTTTCACGTTAATTACTTAATATGATTTCAATGCATATTGCCAGGCCTGTGCCCAGATACTGTTGCTGGCAGCATAGCCTTCTATGTGATTGGATATTTTATCATCCTCTTTATATATTTGCTGTGCTGTCTTAGAAAGCTGTGAGCTGGGGCGCCTGAGTGGCTCAGGTTGAGCAGCCGACTTCGGCTCAGGTCATGATCTCACGGTTCGTGGGTTCAGGCCCCATGCCGGGCTCTGTGGTGACAGCTCCGAGCCTGGAGCCTGCTTCAGTTCTGTGTCTCCCTCTCTCTCTGCCCCTCCCCTGCTCATGCTCTGTCTCTTAAAAATAAAAATAAACATTAAAAATTAGAAAAGAAAAGAATTAGAAAAAAAAGAAAGCTGTGAGTAACTTGGTTTTGCGATGTTAAAACAGTTGTGCACAGTTCTTCTGCGTCCAGTGTGGTGTATACTTAATACATATGGCTGAGACGAAGGAATTAAAGTTTAGATTTTATTTAACTTCAATGAATTTTCATTTATTTTATCTTTTAAGTTTTTTTTTAAAGTTTATTTTGTTTATTTTGAAATAGAGTGACACAGCAAGCAGGGGAGGGGCAGAGAGAGAGGGAGAGGGAGAGAGAATCCCAAGCAGGCTCCGTGTGTCAGCATGGAGCCCGTACGTGAGGCTGAACCCATGAACTGTGAGATCATGACCTGAGCAAAAATCAAGAGTCGGATGCTTAACCGACCGAGCCACCCAGGTGCCCCTAACTAATTTTAATTTAAATGGCTACAGGTGGCTGGTGACTGCTGTATTGGACAGCACAGGTGTAGAGCCTGTTTCCTTTCTGGTTTTGGGGTGCCAATGAAAGCTTTCTCCCTAGAAATACATGTTAAAAAGTGGCTTAATCTAATAAAACACTCTGCGGGTGAGAAGCCGATGATAAGGCTGGTCAGCAGGTTATTTTTAAATTTATCTTCCAAATGTTACCAATTATTTCCCGCGTCCTCCCCCCCCCCCCCCCCCCCCCCCCGTATTCCCCATTGTATTGACTTGATGTTAGAATTTTGCTTCAAGGCAACTTGCTGTCCACACGCAGGTAATTTTGGAGTTGTTTAACAGTGTACATTGTTAATGTGTTGTGTAACTATCTCAGGTTCTCGATTTTAATAAAAGGTCTGTCTTTGGAAGATGCAGAGGAGAACCTGGAGTGCAGCGGCCGAGTGCCCCAGCCATGTGGCCCTCTGTGGCAGGAGGGTGGCAGCGGCACGAGAATCTTTGGAAACCAGAGCTTGACTGAAGGCAGGACTGAAAACAATAAGGAGCGGGCCAGCCCGAGCGAAGAAAATAAAGCAAATAGAAACCAACTCCCTAAGGTATGAAAGATGGGGCTGCCTGGGCAGATGGAGGGCTGTGGCTCACTGGCAGCGCCAGGGGCTGGGAGCTCATTTTAGTGCTCTCTTTTGATTTTTAAAAAGTAGTATTACAGAAAACGGGTGGGTGCATGAGGGTATATCAAGAAGCAGGATGGGGACCTTGCTTGTCCGGTTTGGAATGTGTGGTGGTTAGGGGTGTACCCTGGAGTCCTGCTCTGGGCGCGCCCCCGCGGCCTGCCTTCCCTGCCCGGCGCCGCCATGCCGGCGTGCTGCCGTGGGGCCCACGGCGTGAGATCCCGTAACTGCCGTCATCTTCACTGGAAAACTCTGTAGAAATCTTTGTATTTTGCGTGTGTGCGTGTGTTCCCCGAAGAGGATCACACAGGTTAAAGGGTATGGATGTTTGAATGTTTTTAAGGGTTTTTGATGAATTATCAAATGCTTCCCAAAAGGGTTGTACGTCTCGCTCCCTGCCCCTGATGCCTGCAAGTAGTACACGGCACCATTTTTTACTGAATTTGGAATTTATATTAAAGACTTCCACCGTGCGGTTCTGAGCTCAAAACACAACATGATGTGAAAAGCCACAGGCAGAGGTAACAATGCTCTAAGCTTCTGGGGATTCTGTGAGGATGCCCCGGGGCATTAAATTATGTAGAGAAAGGTATCCTGTGGCGTGTTTGAGCACTAGCCCTTGCAGGGACTAGGGTTACTGTTTCTTAGGTCGCTTTGAATTGGATTAGGCGGAGAATGGAATTGATTTCATGTGCGGGCTCAGCGAGGGGATAGAAACTTCACTGGAAATTTGAGCAGGGATGGGAAAGACATCAATTCTGGTCTGTTCGGGGGGTTTTCTCTGTTCTCGCGGAGAGGCGGTGTGTGCCCCCGCTACCCATTAGCCCCGGGTCTCCCTTCGGCAGGAGGCCCGCCATGCGGCTGCCTCACCCGCCTTGTCTTTCAGGCCACCAACAAGCAGAGGAGAGAGCAGCAGCGACTGGAGAAGAAGCAGCGGCAGGAGGAGAGGCACCGTCACAAAGCCCTGGAGAGCAGGAGCGGCCACAGGGACAGCAACCGGGGTGAAGCGGATGCTAACACACAGGTCACCTTGGTGAAGACCTTTGCTGCTCTCAACATCTGACTCTGGCCCTCTGGGAGTTGTGAGAAGCGAATGGAAAATGCAGTGCTGCGTACCAGGCTTCTCCAGGGAGGCCGTCCTCTCACAAATGAAACACAACCCACAGAGCTCACACACAGGCTCACACTCTGACTTAGTTTCCTTCAAGCTGCCTCTTTTTTGCTCAGACTTTTGTTAGTGATGTGTTTTATTTTATGGAAGTTCAGTGGAGCCATTCACGTTCTGTAATTAAAATACTGAGTTCTAGGGTTGGGGAGTGAGTTCAGGAAAAACCTTTGAAGTGTGGTTTCATTTGCCCCCAAAAATCAGAGTTCAGTCACCCTGGGATTTTTTCCCTAACACTGTGGTGAGTTTTGCTGTAATCGTTCATGAGGTAGTTTAGATTAATTGCTAGAAATTCAGAATGACAAGTTTCCTTTGTGTCTCTCTCATTTTCCAGCAGATATTCACATACTGGTAGTTTATAAATGGTCTCCAACTCAGGAACACATTTAGATTTAATTTTCTACTAATCCAAGTTAATCAGAAATTAATTCAGGAAGTATTTTCCTAAAGTAATAGGATATGAGAGGGCTGCAGCCTGCAGTCAGCGTGGAAAATGAAACAGCTGCTCCTTCCTGAATCCAATGTTCTTTCAGATGGGATGCAGGTGCTGTGAGTTTGTTTGCACCCAGGCCATATGGTAAACACGCCAGACTGTTAATTAGGCCTGGACCTTGCTGGAAAAGGGACAGTGTTGTTGAGTTTTTGGTACTTGTTTCTCGACGACGAGAAGGTGGCATGTTACTGCTTATGATGGAATTCTGAGATTCTCATGGTATGGAGGGCAGAAGCCATTGTTGTAAAGGGAAAAATCAAGAAATTCCTGAGTCGTAAGGAAGAATCTAAAGAGTTCTTTGATTTTGTAGGGGCAGAAGGTCTGGAGAATAAGGTTTTTCAGGTTCACATTTTAAGTGACTGTATTTTCTTCCGTGCTACGCTAGACTCAGACGCCTTCAGAGGAGTCTCTGACCTGTCTTTCAATTCTCTCAGTACTGTGAACATGGAATCCCATAAGATGCTGTATCTTTCTTTCTGTTAAAGCCCTATCTGGGATTTTGATGTTGGAAAAGCTCTCCAGCGCTCTAGTAGCTGTCAGTGACCTAGCTTAGGCCAGCAGGGCAGAGGCCATTGAATGGCTCCCCAGTTCCGATGTGGATTTGGGTCGTAGAGGAAGGTCGTTCCTAAAACTGGTAGATGGATGTGAACTCTCAAACTGTAATAGACAAAGTGGCCGGCCGTGCACATTTGTTGCCTCTTAGCGACCCAGCATCTGGACGAATAAAATCTGCCGAGTCAAAAGGTAAATTAGTTTTCCACTCAGATTTCAAAATTATGTAAGTTCCAAGGAGAAGGGAAAGCCATAAAAACGCTCTGGTTATGCAGAAGCGTCACTGTCTGGGGGCCCTGTTGTCGCTGGATTGTTTTTATCAGCAGGCAGGCGGTTTCCTTCTGTTGTAATGATGTATTTTAATTTTTTGTCTGTTTGACTTCGGTGACTTTCTGTAGTTGGAGCGTCAGTAGGTTCCTGGAATTGCTCTCAGGACATTGCCGTTGGGGCTGCTTCCTGGTCCAGTGCATTGTACTATTTAGCAGATTCAGAGACTGTGCGGCATTTTTTTCTTCGCACATTGCAGAGTTCTGAGCGTGATGTCCACACAAGTGAAGGGTCTCCGTCGCCTCACTGTGTCCAAGAGCGTGAGACCCTGCGCCCGAGCCTCTGTCGTTCTCTTGGCTTTTGAATCTGGACCCAGTGCTGACTGGCTGACCTTCTCTGAGTGAACGTTCTTTCCTGTCTGCCTCGTATGGCAAGAGGGCAGGAGACCAGATCCGCTCCGCAAGATCGAGATTATGTACCAGCAGCTCAACAGGATTAGGAGCCTGAGATAGCTTAAGGGATACCCCTTGTCAGAAGCAGTAGAATTGCTTTATGTGCCTGGTTTATGGAGGTTTTAGAAGTTTTACTAGAAGCTGCTAAAAAGTTATTAAGGAATATTGGGCACACTTATATACAAATTACCAACTTCTGATAATAGGTTTCAGCATTTCTGGGGTAAAATAACAGCAATTTTAAAAACTAAGCATACGGCTTTGATAATTTTCTTTTATTACCATTTCATAGTTTTCCAGTTAAAATTGGTCTGTGTTTAATAAGTTAGTTATTTGGAACGGGATACGTGTATCCAGCTTTAGTGATCTCTTCTAGCTCGGCGTTTGAATTTAGACTTTACTGCCTCAGTCTCACTGAGGTGTGAGGTAATGGAATCCATACGCTTAGTTGCTTCGTAGGCATTTGAAAACCACGTTATTGGCAGCTGGCATGGAGGTGGGTTTGGTTCTGGGAGGACCACTCGGTAGCTGTGTCCTCGTACGGTTACTCAGTGCAGCCCGCGTTAGGAGGCACGTCCTTCTGAGCCTCTGCGTCACATCTCGGCTGTTAGAGGTTCACGTGACAGCGGATTGTCTCACTAGCTTTTAGGGAGGTCAGGAGAAAGGGGGTGGGGTGGTGGTCTGTAGCTGCTTACTAGTCTTATCAACTGTATATGAAGGTTTTATGGATTTTAAAACGATTTTTTAAAGGTCAAAATAAGAAATGAAACTTTAGCGGCACCAGCTTTGTGCTGGAGAGGTGGATGTGTTAAATTAGCATAGGACCTCGTTCTCGGTAACATAGTTGCCCTCAGGAGACAGGAGAGAGAGAGAGAGCTTGTCTGTATGTTTAGCCTTTGGGCCGTGTGAACATATGCTTTCAGGAGCAGAGCCTGGTCGAGGGATTGTGGCAGAAAGAAGGATCTGGAATGTCAGCCGAGGCTGTTGCCTGTAGTTTCTTTTATAAGCTCTGAAAACCCTTCCAATCCTGTTTTGATCCCAAGGGCTTATGAGATGGGGTCTCCCTTGTGAGGCAGCTCAGGTGGGCTGAGCGGGAGCCTTTGAGTAGGTCGCCCATAGCGCTCTGCCTTGCCTCCCTGGGGTTTACACTGTGAGATGACACGGTCCTGGGGGAGGAGGGCCGTGCGAAGTGGGGGAGAGCCGCTCACGTATTAAGTAGGGGTCAGGTGGACTTCGGCATTGAACTGTACACGTAGCGAGTCCCTGTCGTCAATGTGCAATTTCTCTCATTCTGAGAAACTCTAGACTCTGCCTGGGTTTTACTGGGTTGACATAGAATGCTGTCCGTTTACCTGTGTGAGATGTCCAGCTCGAATGTGCGGTCGGCGACAGGGAACTTGGATTTCTAGTCCGAGTCGCCACGTCTCCCTGAACAAAAGGGCCTTTGTGGGAGGGATGAAAGTGGTTTCTCGGTTTCTGTGCGTCCCATCTGTGGCCCCCTCCGACTCTCATTCTGGGCAGACACGTAGCTCTTCACCTCTTTACCTTTTTACCTCAAGGCTCTGTCTGTAGCAAACTTTTCGATTCAGAGCCTGACACAGTTTTTCTGTTTTGCCATCTTCATTCCTCACCAGTTCGCCCATCTCGGCTTTTAGAACAGGTGTTGCTAAAACCCTGGCACCTTCCGACAGCTGTTCTGGGGGGACTTAGTAATGGCACTTTTTACGAGGTGCGTTCTCCTCACCCTAGAGCAGATTGCATTTTCCCACTGACACCGAGGCAAAGATCTTCTAGATTGTGTATTGATGGTGCGTCTTCTGCCGTCACCTACCAGAGGGGGGAGTGGACCACCGGTGTGAAGGGGAGGTGGTGACCCGCAGCCACAGAGTGCTTGCGCCCCGGGGCCCGGCCCCAGCCAGCTCTCCCTGGAACCTCAAGCTCTTGGCTGCCTCTTCTAAGCTCGCTGTCTAGTCTCCCTGGCCTGGTCAGGGGTGCTCCATAGCTTGGAAGAATGTTTCACATCCTTGCAAAGTCCCTCCCGAAGGGGCTGCGGTCCGGGAAGAGCGTCCACGTAGAAGCATGAACCTCCTGCACGGCGGCCTTATTTTCAGCAGAGCATCCCTGTGATGCAGAAGGGCCGCTTACTGTGGTTGTCCGGGGCGGTGATGGTCCCCGGACGGAACCGCCTCAATCCGCCCCCGTGTGCGTCAGCAGCCAGTGGACCACCGTGGCCAGCCGTTCATGATGATCACTGAAGCTCAGCCTGTGGTCTGGTCCCCTGGCGGGTCCCGGAGGAATGCCGGCGTGGGGCTGCTCCGTCTTCCCACTCTCGTCGTTCACCTTCCATGGTGGGAGGGGCCAGCGGCCTCCCCCGCCACCCTTCCAGCAACCTCCATGAGCACCGAGCTCAGTAAGAAGAAGGAGGGGGCCAGGAGTTCAACTTCAGACCTACAAGTTCCTCTTGCTGACGAGATGTTGTGGGGTGCAAACCCCCTTGTGGGGGAGACTGGCTGGGTCTGTGCAGAACATGGGGCGTTGGCAGGCTCAGGAACCTTCTCTTTTTTCCAATTGCACTATACTTGTAGCTTCAGTCCGGAGATACTTAAGACCTCCATGGGGTCATGACCCATAGACTTAGCAAGTCTTGCCTTATCTGTGGAGCTGGACGGGGAGAAATGTGACCACTGTCTGCTGTCCATAGTTCATTTCCTCTAGGTTGTCTCTTTCCACAGATTGTGTTCATCCGAACCATTTTATTTTATTTTATTTTTTACCAAAGTACTGTACTTGGCTATTTGCAGTGTTTTCAAAACCAAATGTTTCCTTTTTTTTGTGTTTTTAATCTTCAATACTTGGTGCAATAGAAGCTGCAAAGATGTGCCACTTTATCTACAACATGGGGTTTTGTACGCCAATAAATTCTAGTTTAAAGACAAACCATCACGTTGTTTTTTGCCGGTCTGACCGCCGTTCGCGTGCATGAGACAGAGCATGGCAGGAAGTGGCCTTTTTAGAGACCTTTGCCTGGAAGATGGGAGGGGACAGTCATTTGGGGATCTCACTGAGCTTGAAAGAGCTGACTGGCTCTGGTGCAGGTGACCCATCAGCCCCGGACCCTGAAGATTTCTGCCAAGTCCTAAGAACATCTCTGATAATTGGGAGTTGTCTAAATACGGAGCAGCCGTCTGTTGGCTTCCACCTTGGGTCTCTCTATAACTCTGAGGGTTGGTTTGGCTCCATTCTAGGAGGAGACACACCCTCCCAGACACGGGCGGACAGCTGTGACCGGAGCACAGACACCTGCCAGGGGTCCTCACAAGCGGGACGGGGAAGGGAGAAGGACAACCGCAGAAAACCAGCGGGTGGGGAACTCGGCGTGAACAGCCCACACGAGGGCTCCGGCTAGTCTCGAGGTCAAGGTTGGTACGGTTGTGCCAGGCCTTCCTGTGTCTTTGGGATTTTGGCCTTGAGACTCTCTCTTTCTCTCATTCTGACTTTGTACTTGTCAAGCAGCCTTTGGGTGGGCTCCACTAGTTCCTCGATGCCACAAGGTGTCCAGTACCACCCTGGAGGGCAGAAAACATTCCGGTTCCTGGTGAGGACATTTCCCTTTGGTCCCCGTCCTTGTGTGACTTCCACCTCAGTCCACGACAGAGAGCTCTGTCTGCACAAGCGCTATCCAGGTCGTGAGCCCGTGAGGCCTGGGCTCTGGACCCTGTAAACCCAACTGAGAAGTTTGCTGAAAGATCCTACTAGAACCAGAGTGATGTCCCAATTTAGGTTCTCCCTCAGCTGGAGAGCTCCACGGCCTCAATTCCATATCTGCAGTGATTCGTGGAGGCCAGGGAGCCACCTGCTAGGTGGGTGACGGTCAGGGGGCTTCCTGTAAGGGCCTGTCTCTGAGACTGGATGAGCCCAGGAGAACAGAGGAGAGTTCCCAGGCCAGGTAGGGAGTAGTTTAAGTTCATTGTTTGTATTTTCCTCTAGGCCATGGCACTGCTTACTCGGGGTGAGCGACAGTTTATGATGCCAAAGACTGAAGTACCATAAGGGGGAAAGTGGCTGTTCCTGTGTCCCTTTCTGGTAACTTCACAGTTGCCCAGGAGAGAGCTGGGTTGAAAACTGAAGTTTAAAATTTGCGATTTGCCAGACACACAACAGCCCTTCCCACCAACGCATGGAAAGTGTATGGGTGCCTTAAGATTCAATAAAACTTTGTTACAGAACGTTCTGCACCGAGTGGTTTTTATCTGGGCTGCTGGACAGAGTGGGCACTCGGACCCCAGTGATGCAGAACTTGTTTGGTTGTAAAGGATTAGGGTTTAGAAGTTACTCGTTTGTGAAGGGTTGAGATCAATCCTGCTACTTCATAGGTTCTGGTTTGGCAGAGGGAAACTTCCCACCTCAGAGAAACTGGTCCAAACCTCCCTGTGGCAGAAGGCCTGAGATCCCTCAAGATATCCTGCTTTTACTTAATGTATTCACCCATCCAAGCATCCAAGCGTCCATCCAACATTTGCTGAACCTGTGTGGTCTATGGGTTCTTATTTCTGGGCACAGCATCAGACATGGACCTTGTCCTCAAACACTTTCCAGTCCTGGAGTGAAAGAAGATGGACGGACAGACAGACACACACACACACACACACACACACACACACACACACACACGACGTAAAAGGAGATCCTAACGGCAGGGCCGTGGTCTCAGAGGGAAATCAAGGAAAGCTTGGTTGAGAAAGTGACTTTTGCATTGGGCTGAAAGGGGAGATAGGAAAACCCCAGAGTGGGGGGATTGTATTGTCAGGATAATACAATTCGTTTGGGAAAAGACTGGGAATTTCTTCAACACTTGTGTGACGGCTTTTGCTACCAGTTTCTGCAGTGAGGTGTGCTTCGCCCAGCCGGACCGTCTTACGCTGTCAGGAGTTGACCCCTGTGTTGTGTTTTGACTTCGGAGCTCACCACGGTCGCAGCCCTCGAGTCACAGTGCTGCACACAGTCTCTCCAGCCAGTTTTGCCTCATTTCCTCTGTGGGATGACAGCTCAGGGCAGTGAAGGTTAATGACTCAAGCATGTGTCCGCTTAAGATAAATGAGCACCCAGAGTAGCGAGCTCGGGGGCAATTCAAATAAATGAGCGTAGTATTTATTATATGTACGATGCTATTTCCCTAAAATAATTCCAGTTACCATGTGTCTGTGGCTTCAACAGAACAGATGTTTGTTTGTTTATTTATTTTTAATATAATTTATTGTCAAATTGGCTTCCATGCTACACCCAGTGCTCATCCCTACAGGTGCCCTCCTCAACGCCCATCACCCACTTTCCCCTCTCCCTCCCCCCCCCGCCCCCCGCCATCCACCCTCAGTTTGTTTCTGTATTTAAGAGTCTCCTATGATTTGCCTCCCTCCCTCTCTGTTTGTAACTATTTCCCCCCTTCCCCTCCCCCATGGTCTTCTGTTAAGTTTCTCAAGATCCACATCTGAGTGAAAACATGGTATCTGCCCTTCTCTGATTGATTTCACTCAGCATAATACCCTCGAGTTCCATCCACGTTGCTGCAAATGGCAGGATTTCATTCTTTTTCATTGCCAAGTAGTATTCCATTGTATGTATAAACCACATCTTGGCCTACTCGTCAGTTGATGGACATTTAGGCTCTTTCCATGATTTGGCTATTGTTGAAAGCGCTGCTATGAACATTGGGGTACATGTGCCCATATGCATCCTGTGTCCCTTGGGTCAATTCCTAGCAGTGCTCTTGCTGGGTCATAGGGGAGTTCTATTATTAATTTTTTGAGGAAACTCCATACTGTTTTCCAGAGTGGCCGCACCAGTTTGCATTCCCACCAACAGTGCAAGAGGGTGCCCGCTTCTCCGCATTCGCACCAGCCAAGTGTTTACCTAGTCTGTACTGTGTGAGGGACGCAGGAGGGGAGCTGAATGCACACAAAGTGACCTGGTGTAGATGGAGCTAGCATGGTGCTCCAGGGGCCCTGAATATGTCATCTCATTTAAACCTTCAAATCGCCCTGTGAAGCTGGTGGCTCTATCCCCAATCTACACACAAGGGAATAAGTAACCGGCCTGAGATCACAGGGTGGGTAGCAGAGAGAGGATTTGAATCTTTGGCAATCTGCCCCCACCACACAGGAACCCCAAACAAGCACCCAAACAACTGGGGTAAGAGGCACGAGAAAAGGTATAAAAACATCGCCTGGCAGTTCAGAGGAAGGTGAAATCTCTGACTGGAAAAGCATCATGGGAAAAGGTGACATTTGAGATGCACTTGAAGCATGTGGATTTTCACATGTGAATGGGAAGCTTCCAGGATGAGGGAAGCTATTGTACAAGGTGTGAAGGCTAGAAGGCAGTGGGCGGGGGCAGGTTCTGGGAATGGTGGAGAGGAATAAGAAATAGATATGGCTGACCAAAGATGCTGGAAAAGCAGATGATACTGAGCTTGAATGCCACCTCTGTGGTGGACAATGGGAGCTATTGATAGTTCAGGGGCAGAGGACGGATGTGATGGAAATGAAGCCGGGATTGGTGAACAGGATGGTGATTGGCTGGAGGATGGAGGTCCTGAGAGTCCAGTCTTAGCTCTGTGAAAGCACTCACTAGTGCAGAATAACGTGTGTCTGTCCGCCAGCTGGCACCACGTAACTTGTCCCTACGTCCAGCACTCAGCAAGGGACGAGCAGCGTGCACAGCTTCCTGAAGGAGGGAATGAGCATTCATGCCGTGTTCAGTTCTCTAGCTGTGACACTGTGAGGAACCCTGAAGAGGCAGATGAAGGTCCATGAACTCATAATCGGACTCTTAAGTTAACTCGGGAATTCCAATGTGATTTGATTTCTCATCACTCAGCAAGTTACTTAATCAAACATTTCATTAATAGTTCTTGTTAGGGGGTTAAGTGGGTACCAAGCAAATCAATCCAAATCGTGTCATCAAAATCGGAGAGGCAATCTATGAAACATTCAGGAACACAGTCAGTCACTCCTCTAGCCTTGATATAGTCCCATGCCTCATTCATTCGTTTGTTTCTCCATTCAGTGAATTGATAATCATAAAGCACTTAGAACAGAGCCTGGTAAATGCCAAGTACTTGATAAAGTGCTAACTATTATTGTTATGGCCATCATTCATTCATCTGTTCATTCATTCATAGAACATGAATGCGTAGTAAGTGCTAGGCATTATTTTGCGTGCTTTCACAGATGCCAGCTTATTTAAACCTTGCCACAACCAGGCCGCCAGTGAAGCGTCATTGTTCCATTTAGCCACATGTCAGTGCTCTTTTAGATTTTAATGTGCACACAAATCACCTGGGGGTCTTGTTAGCCTGTAGATTCTGCCTTAGTGGGTCTGGGGTCTGGTCCACACTCCCCAACAATGCTGCTGCTGTCGTCCGCGGGCCTCACCGAGCAGCAAGTCTGGAACAGATGCACTGTTGCTAACTGGCTGAGCAGAGAGGCCTTGACCAAGAACCAGAGATCTCCAGTTCAGGCTTTTTCAGTCCTTTCCACGAGCCTGCAGCTGGCAACGAAGTGTGTGTACCAGAAACACATACATGGAATTTAGACCCATTGCTTCATTCAGCAAACATTAATGATCACTGGCTACACCAGGTCCAGTTCTTAAGTTTTGCTTTTCTGGAGGGCCACACAGCTGGCCGGTCAGCAGGTGCCCGTCTCGTTGCTGCCTTACATCCGTCACGCCCAGAACATAACCTCCCTCCACCTCTCCAAGCCAGTTCCATCTTCCTGTGTTGCTTACCTTTGTGCCCACATCGATCACTGTAAGCTGTCTGTAAGGGCTTTGTGGTAATTTCTCAGCGTGTGTAGTATTGACAGTGCTGAGGGACTGGTTTCACTAGCCCAGAAGCAATATTCCCCACTGATGAAGGGAAATCCAGGTTTAAGGTGAATTTAGGGTTCCTCCTCACAGCCTAAACCAAATGGACACCAGAGGGCGCCTCAGGACCACTTTCCCCAACAGATGGCGCGACGGCTCTTTTCCCTAAATCCCATTTCTGCTCGAAGACCTGGTCTTCCCTGGACTCTTTACCAAGGATTAACGTCATTCACAGCGTCAGAGTGCACATACCCGACCACCCCCTCTGTTTTTACTGACACAGGACTTCTTCACCTTACAAAGTTTATGATGATCACCCCTTTGATTTCTTCCGTGCTTTCCTGCCCTCAGTCCTGAAAGTTGCACAGGAGTCACGAAAAGGACAAAGGGAGTGAACACTTATTACATAGCTGCTGTGAGCTCCCCCCCCCCCCCTCCAAATGTAATACCTTTTCACACGCTTGCCTGTTGAATGGGTGCATCCCAATCCTGGCAGACCTTATCAGCATATTGTAGATAGTGGAGATATTCCGTCCATATGTAGGAGAATTTGGTGAAATACATTGCTTCCGGGATAAGCTACATCCCACTTGGGGGCAATCCTTTGGGGCCTTAAGTTCCTCCAGAGTCAGCCCCACGATGGCTGGGGCCTGAAATCTTTCCTCTTCCCCTCCCTGTATCAGGAGCCTGACCCAGCCCGGGCACCCTCCCAGCGGACCTTCCCTGGCCACTCTAGGCTGTCCAAGATGACAATCAGAGGGTCGGGTTGACATGGCCATAGCAGAGTGTCACCAGTTGCCACCAGTTGTGAAGAAACAGAGGCACACAGGCTGGGTGTGACGCCGCCCCCCTCAGATGGAACTTCCCCTCTCTGACCCCTGGCCTGCCTCTCTGTCAAAGGAAAGGTCTGGATAAAATGATTCCAGAGCTGCTTTTCACACTTCACCGTCCTGCTAAAGGGAGGGATTTGAAGCCTGATGACACAGTGGGACAATATTTTTAGGCTGGTATTTTTCATGCCTCTCACATTGTACCATATGGCCAGATATATTCCTTCTGGAGATTGCCATTATTGTCTTGGATAAGATTGTAGAATGTTAGAAAAAGAGAATCACAAAAACTTACTATAAGGGGAAATCAAAGGGACAGAATATTAGAATTGCACGCAGGGGCCACCCATGTCTGCTTTGTTCTTGCTGCCTCCCAGTGCTTAGCACGATGCTGGCACGTGGTAGAGGCTCAAAAAAACAAAAAACAAAAACAAAAAAATTGAATGAATGAAAGAAACTGTCAGTTAAATCCTATAATGATAGAATCTGAGAATCAGGGACTATTAGGATTCTGGGACATTATTCACTTGTTCAGAAGAGGGAATGGAGATCTCAGGGCTGGGTTATAGAATCTTCTGGGGGCTAAAAGTGTCCCTTGGCTCCTGGGCACAGCGGCTCTTCCTAGTTAGGGGGAAGATGTGGCCCAGGAGGCCAGCAGTGGTCCAGGCCACAGTCTGGGAGCTCTCAGGGAGGGATGGGCTCGCAGGAAAGGAATTTTCAGGAGGAAGGGCCCGTGGTGGCAGTGCTGTCCAGGCCCCGGGCTACCGCGGCAGGAGGCGGGGCCAGGCCCCAGCAGGGCGGCGTGGGGCCGCTGCACAGCTTGTTGGGGTAGCGGACGAAGTTGCGGTTGTAGGTGCCCAGGTTGCGGCGGAAGCAGAGGGCAGCCGACCGGTCACACTCGCAGGTCTGGCGCTGGCAGGCCGTTCTGCCGGCTGATGGGACAAGGTGAGTCAGGGACCATGCATGTGGCTCAGGCCTCCCACTCCCTGGGGTCCTCGTTCTCTGTGCCATTCTGCTGGATGCCCGCTGCCACCCGGGGAGGGGCTCGGGTGTGGGTGAGAGGCCGGGCAGGGCACGGGGGGCCCCACGGGAGCCCAGGACGCCGGGAGGGTGGGATGGCTGATGGCTGTTCTTCCTCTCCTGGGCCCACACACCACCCTCGGCCCCCCTGCTGGCAGGAGACAGCCTGGTTCATTACCATGGCAGCTCCAGCCTGGAGGAGGGGTGTTCTAGGCAGCCCCTTTGCCATGTGTGGTGTGGCTGGTGGTGGAATGAAGCCATCCAGCTGATATGGGAGCCATGAAATGACAGCGACTCAGTCCCGAGTGGCCTGTGTGCCCCAGAGCAGCCTGGGCCCAGACTGGAGCTCTTTGGGGCCTCCTTGGGCCCTGGGCCCGTCTCTGCCTGAGTGGACAGAGCCCACTTTTCTGACATTTATCTTAGGGTCCTTCTGTGTGTGTGTGTGTGTGTGTGCGCGCGCCTGCGCGCGAGTGTGTGCTCCCACACAGCCTGGCATTAGAGCTGGCACTGGGGGGGGGGGGCAGAGGCTCCTCTTCTCTCCACTGCCTCTGTCTGCCCTCAGCGGCCCTGGCTCCCCTTTGTCCCCTAGAATCCGTCTCATAGAAATGTCCGGGGCTCCTCATTTCCCCCATCAAGGTCAGCCTCCACTTCCCCCCAGGGTTCTGCCCACATCTGCTGGGCAGATAATAGTCTCATCAGTTCTTTTGGGTGGTTCTTGCTAGGAGCCGGATTAAGCTGGATTAAGCTGAGTGTGATTAGCTCCATTTTATAGAAGAAAACAGAGGCTTTGAGAGGTTACATCACTTGCCCGAGGTCACACAGTGAATAGAAGGTGAAGTCCCTAGGCTCTGTCCTCACTCCCCTGACATCTCTCCTTGGTTATCCTCTCAGTGCTGTCCCTGACAGGTGGCTGTTTCCACCTTGCATAAACTGCCAGGGACAGGGAGCTCACTACCTGTCAAAGCTGTCTAGCTGAGTAGATAGATGGCTGCAGCAACAAGGAACCTAGCTAAATCTGCCCCCAGTTGTTCTGCTCCTGGCACTGCCCCTCCCCCAGGACAGACCTTTAGCGATCTGAGCTGGTGTCTTTGATCCTCCTGGGGCTTTCTGCTGTGCCCCCCACTCAGCCTCCCCCTCCTCGTAGGCTGCTCCTGGTTTTGCATCAGGGACAAGGTTTGGTGCTCTGATGTGGGCTCCCTCCACTGGGCTGGGGTGCATGGAGCCCTTCACACTGTTGCTTGGGTCAGGCCACTTCCAGGGTAGGGGGCTGGGGGGTAGGACCAGAGAAAAATTAATTGGTCCAAGTGGGCATTGGACCTGGCCAAGCTGAGCCAACAGGTGCAGCCTGACAGCCCCCACAGCGGGCAGGGGGTGTGTGTCAGCCTTTGGAAATGGGGTTTACTGTCCCGCGTCCTAGCTCCAGCTCTCTCTGCCTGGGCCCGTGCCCTCGAGTCTCTGTCCTGGGGACCTTTCCCTGGACCTTTGCTGTCCAGGCTTTGGAGAGGCTGTGTGAGCGCAGCTTCTCTGGATCCCCTCTGCTCCTCTTCCCTGAGGCTGGAGTTGGGAGGCCCCTGGCGGGGAGGAGAGCCTGGGGCCAGGGCAGGAGGCCGTGGGTCATGGAATCTTCGACTGGGTGCCAGGTGAGCCTCTGGGTGGAGGGACAGCCCTCCCTACAATTCCGTGAGCGTGGAAGACCCATCCCTCCCGCCTGTCTAGCCCAGGGTCTGGCCCTGATGGGGAACCGGCGGCCACCATCAGGAAGGGCTTCGGGTCTGAGGCCACCACCCCTACCCGGCCTCTGGGGCGCTCCAGGGCACTTCACTTACCGCAGAAGATGTTGTATCTGCTGGCGGAGAAGAGATACCTTTCCAGTTTGGGTTCACAGCCCCGCTTCTCCACGCGCCCATAGCAGCAGTCATGGGCATGGCAGCACCTGTAAGGGTCACTGTCAACCTGGGGAGGGGGACCTGTGAGTCAGGTTGGGCTGGATCGGGGGCTGCTGGGGGGCCCAGGGCTCGAAGAGGCTCGAAGGAGAGGTCGGCCTCCGCTTGCTAGGTGTCCCCGCGCCCCCACCTCCTGGGGAAGCCCCTCCCCGGGGCCGTCTACTTACCAGTCCGTTGGGTCCACGGGCCAGTGGGAGCCGCCAACGCCACAGTAGCAACCGTAATCATTGTACTGCAGCGCAGGCTTCCCCGTCACCCTCTCAATCATTACCCCAAACTGGACCAGGTTCCCGCCGGCCAGGGCCACTGTGGGCAGGGAGGGCGGAGGGCAGATCTGTCAGGGTCCTCACCCTCTGCAGCCAGCTTCCCCCATATCCCCTCAAATCGGAGTCCGGACACCTCCCCTACCTTGCCAAGCACCTTCCTCCCAGTAATAGCGGTGCTAATCAGTAACAATCTTCCCAGAATGTGCACCCCACCTTGAACCCTAGTGCTCACCCCACCCCCCATGGCAGTGCGCCCAGGGTCTGTCCTGCCCTCCTCTCTCAGCTCCAGAGCAACACCCACTCATCCTGCTTGCGCCCCACCCCCCCGCTGCCCCCTCAAACGTCTCCCAGCGGGCCCCGAGTGCTCCCCAGGTGTCAGCCCCAGGTCCTCGGAGCACTCTGTCCCCACCAAGTCCCCTCAGATGCTACTGGATAGGCTTCATGACCACCTGCGCTTCCCCGAATGCCTCCAGATCCTGCTGATACAGCAATGGGGGGGCTGCCAACCCAGGCAGGTTGGAGCCCAGAACGGAAGCTAATGGGGGAGGGGGTGGCACACAGGTGGCAGGAGACCTGTGTGTGCCCTCTGGGGTTCCCACCAGCCCCTTTCCTGTGGCCCCCCCAGCTTCCCCCGGCCTGTGCTGACTTGCTGTGACCCACCACACCCTCCGGGACCTCTGGGGAGCTCTGTTCCCAGCTGGGGAGGAGGAAGGGAGAAGGCCACATAGGTCACTTACCCAGGAGGCAAAGGAAGGTCAGAAGAGGGGGAGGCTTCATCCTTTCGGGGGGAGGGAAGGTGAGCAGGGGACAGAAGAGCTGGGCTGCAGGAGAAGGAAGTGAGCGGGGTGCCTCTGATCTCAAGGCACCTCCCCAATTAGTTAAATACTGGGTCCTGTCCACTCCCCATCATTAACCCCTGAATACCCAGTGATGCAACAGTGTACTTCCAGGTCTTTGGCCAAGTCCCCAGGGGAGGGGCCAGCCTGGGGCCCATGGGCTTTGCTTCCAGGCGGTTTTCAGGGAGCAATCTGTGACTCTCTCTTTCCACTGCCCTTCCCTTCACCAACCCCTTTCCAAAAATCATGGCGCTAGCTCCCACCAACTGGGCTGTGAGCCAGGGGCTGTGCCCAGGGCTTTTCATCCTTGGCACCTTGTCCTCATCCCCATTTTACTGATGCACCAACTGAGGCCCAGAGAAGCTGAGAACCTTGAGCCTGTATGGCCAAGTCTGTCCTGTTTCTATGCCACCAGTGACTCGGGCATGCCCTCTGCTCTCTGTCCTCCACCCCGGCCACCATGTTACCCAGAGGGACAGTGCCAAGAGCAGCTGGAGCCCTGGGGAGGCAGGACCCTGGGGACCTGGAGGGCCATTTGTCCAAGATCAGGTAGGTCAGAGACTGGGAGCTCAGGCAGCTGAGCTTCGGGATTTTTCTTCATTGCTTTTTTTCCTGGGCAGGCTCCGGCTTGTTCGGCAAGCAGTGAAAATGCTCCTAATGTGACTTCTGTCTCCCTAGATCCCCAGGCAGTGGGGCCAGAGAAGCAGACTGTGTCTGAGTCAGCTGGAAAAGCACATTCCAGCATCGACCGGAAACTTCCATCCTTGTGAGTTGGGGAGACGGTCCCCCACTGTGAGCTGCTGTCCCCAGGGGCAGGTCAGAACACGGATGCCAGGCTTCAGGGCTTGGCTAGAGGTCAGGGGGATGGAAGAGGGGCCCGGTTTGGTTGTGGTAAGCAGTCTCAAAGTCCCGGGGGTCGTGGGCTCACGAGCCGCCTCGTTTGCTGACTGCTGCCCACACCCCTGAGTCCACGCAGGCAGAACTAGAAGCAAGGTGGCCCCGTCCTGGCTGGCGACTTCCTCCTGCCCTGCCCTCCCTGCTCCCGGTCTGCAGCTGGGATAACTTGACCAGCCGCTTCCATCTGCACGGGACCCGGGGGTGGCTGGGTCTGTGGCCTGGTGATCCTGACTCTCTTCCTCCACGGCCTTAGGTCCTTTCCCTTGCTTGTCACCTCAGTTTTCCTGTCTGTATTATGGGGATGGAAGGCATCCCACCCTTGTCTCCTTCCTAGGAGGATGGGAATCACAAATGCAGACAGGCAGCTAGCCCCCCAACCCTCTGAGTATTTACTACCCACCAGGATGATGCCAAAAGCCCTTCTTAGCTGAGATCTCAAGGAGCCTTCAGATAGCCCCATGATACCTGTGCTCCGATCATCCCCATTTTATGGAGGGGCAAACAGAGGCACATGTCTAAGTACACGATGAGCCAGAATTTGGGCTCAGGCAGTTCAAAGGGCTGGAAGCACAGTGTCTAGAATGCACAGTACCTGTGGTAAGACCTCCCCGCCCCCATAAGAGCCCTGACACTGAGGTCAGGGACATGGCCCTGGAGAGGTACCACCCCGGGAGGGGAAGAAATGGCTGGGTGGCGGGATCTCGGGATTAAAAGTTTTTTAACACAAGTGCAAAGCTGGGTAAACACTGACGTCGCTGGGCTGCAGGCCTGCCTGCGCCCCTCCCATTTCCTCATTTCCTGCTCCGGCCTGGGCCTCGGCCTCGGAACTCATCCCCCTGGACAAGTGGTGGGGGGTGGGGGGGAAGGGGTGGCCAGGGAGGGGAGCGCACCTGGCCAGGATCAGCCTGCAGCCGTGAGTCACGGTGTCCAGAGAGGGGGCTCCCCTTTGCTCACCATTGCCTTTTGATTTTAACAAGGGCATCTCTGGGCAGCCCCTGGCTCCTGGCCTGGGTCACGAGAACCCAAACGGTGAGTCACTGAGGAGCCACGTCTAAACAGCTGAAAATGAGCTTTGATTCCTGGGAGGTTTGGCCCCCAGCCCTTCCTGCAGCAGCATAAGGGTGTTTCCTGGGAGAGGCTGGGTTTCTGGGGCAATTCCTTTGGTGAGCCATTTGGGCTCCCAGCCTGGTCAGGATGGGGCCCTGACCGGTCCCTGCCTGTGGGTACCTGGGGACAGAAAACCAAGGACTGGGGGGCCAGAGCCAGGCAGGGAAATTTCAGCAGGCTTCCAGGCAGAGGTGTCTTCATCTGAGGTTTTGGGGGAGGACTCGGATGTGGAGGAGAGTTTCAGGCATTTGGGAAGTATGGTTGGTTTTCTAGTTTTCACCCAGTGGCACAATGTAGTTGAAAGTGTTGGGGTCCCTGCATCAGCGACATTAGAACTTGAGTGTTTGCCCTGCTGCTCAGGGTCTGTGTGACCTCGGCCAGCCCGATCACCTCCCTGGGCTTAGCTCTGTCATTCATCATATGGGGATAATTAGGACTACCTTCTGGACTTTGGGACCAGACAGAAAGGAAATGAAGGGTATCAAGTTCTCTGCAGGATGCCATGCCTACGGGAGGCACCCACAGATCAGATGCCAGCCCCTCCTTCCCTTCCTCCTCACCTGGCCAGAGTGGGGGCAGCTGCTGTTCCGGGTGTTCGAAGCACTCACCCCCGCTGGGGTGTCTCATTGCAGCTGGGCCAGGACCCCAGCACTGGTGCAGGACGCCGGTCCCTGCTTGGCAGATTTTATCTTCCTCGATGAAGGGTGGTCAGATGGGGCTGAGTGGAAGGAACGGTGCCCAGTCTCAGAGCAATGTCTTCTTTCTTCAGGTGTAAACTTGTTCCTTGTGGCTTAGAAGCTGTCGCCATCATTGTCATCACCTTAACAATGAAAATGGCAAAACCACTACCGCTTGCTAAGCTCCAGATGTGTGGCAGGCGCCGTGCTGGGAGCCCTTCATCTGCTTGATCTTGTCACTTCTGTTGCTTCCCTCAGAGCCCGGAGAAGCCTGCAGACCTCTCCTGGCAACACCGGGATAACCTTATTCCCGAAAGGATTCGTTGCCTGTTCAGTCTGTAACCTATACTGAAGACTTCCTGTGGGCGGGGGATTACACTGAAGAGCAATAATGCACCGTGATTCCTGCCCTCATAGAGCTGACAGTCCGGTGGGGAGACAGACCTCGGTAATTACATATGGGAGGGAAACTTACAAATAGGGATAAGTGGTTTGACAGGAAGTCCCATGGGGCCATGAGAGCATTTATGGCAATGTCTGATCCGGACAGGGGGCTAGCAAAGACTCTTCTGGGGAAGAAAAGATTTAGCAGGGATCTCAAGAAGTTAGCTGGGTGCAGAGGAGAGCAGAGAGAGTTTAGATAGACGGTTTATGCAAGGGCCCTGTGGTCTGAGGAATGTGGATCCAGAAGGGGCTGAAAGGAGGCTGCGGTAGCTGTGCTGTGGTGGGCGGGCCTCAAAGGGCATGATTCGCTGGGAAGCTGACCTCGGGAACTGGGCCTTCTGTTTCCCTCACGGTACCCTGAGCGTGCTGGGCAGGTGGTCTGGAGCTTACTGAATGCGGGCGAGGGCCCTGGAGCCCCCCATGTGTGGCATTTTCATCCCAGTGGGGAGAGGCCAGGGGCACCGGAAGGCTGGGGAGACTCGTCCCTCCACTGGGAACAGGCTCTGTACAGCTGTGCTCGCACAGCTGGGCTCTTCCACTTGTGATGGAGGGTAAAGAACAAGAATCCTTGGCATGGGCCTGTTGTCATCTTTTATAAGGTCGCCAACGTCCTTGTAAAATGGCACAGCTGCGCCCTCTTGGTCTTTGTCCAGGGAATCATGGAATGCCAGGGAAGGGTTTACACCAGGAGGCATTCCTGCCCGTGTCTGAGTCTGGACCAGACGGTGCTGGCTGCCGAGGGGAGACCCTGGCGAGGAAGAGAAAAGCCCGGTTAGCAGGTACTGCCGGCTCCAGGATCGGGTGACCAGCGAGCCTGGGCCAGGCCACACTGGGTAGGTGGTGGCGTCTGAGGGATGGCGTGAGTGTATCAGTCCCCCGCCGGGTTCACTGAGCCTTCATGGGTGCGTGGGTCATGGGGAGGGACAGGACACAGCGAACACTCGTCCCCTGAAAGCTCTGCCCCAGGTTGATCCTAGGAGGCTGAGGGAGGGGACGACTCTGGGGAGTAGGGACGCCCACAGATGTCCTGTGCAGCACGAGGGCCGGTGCGTTTTGCTGGAGCACATGCAGGGGGACGCGCCGCCTCTGCCCACTGTGTGGGGGCCCTTTGCTCCTGAGCGCTGCAGGGTCCTGGCTGAGAGGGTGCCGGAGGCTCTGCATCCAACTTCGTGGTCAGGCTGCCTGGTAACTGGGTACTCTCGGGCAAATGACCTGACTTCCCACGGTCTCAGTTTCCTCATCTGTACAATGGGGATAATAATAGCACCCACTTGTGTGGTGGTTGGGAGTTAATCAAACAGAACCTGTGAAGCATAGTGGTTTCGGCTGCTGTCACCGCTCAGAGCACTAGCGCTAGTTACCATAGGTTTGTGGGCCTCCCTGCCAAGCCCCTTCCTGCTTGAAGCCCCCTCCCCATCCCTTCTTTCCTGGAAGTCTCAAGAACCTGTTCTGGTTGGTGGTGGTCAGGTTCGCCCCTAACACTTGAACGTTTGTGGGGTCTGGGGCAAGAATACGTGTGGGGGTCTCCACACCATGTGTCTAAAAGTTTTAAGTTATCAATCAAGTTGCTAAAGTGGGAAATACAGTATGTTCTATCCTTCTATCTAAATATACTGGGGGCGCCTGGGTGGCTCAGTCGGTTGAGCGTCCGACTTCAGCTCAGGTCATGATCTCACGGTTCGTGGGTTCGAGCCCCGCGTCATGCTCTGTGCTGACAGCTAGCTCAGAGCCTGGAGCCTGTTTCAGATTCTGTGTCTCCCTCTCTCTCTGACCCTCCCCTGCTCACGCTGTGTGTGTGTGTCTCTCTCTCAGAAATAAATAAAGCATTAAAAAATAAATACTTTCCTGGGGCACCTGGGTGGCTCAGGCAGTTGAGCGTCTGACTTCAGCTCAGGTCATGATCTCACAGTTTGTGGGTTCGAGCCTCCTTTCCTAACAAGGGATTAGAGAACATATAGAGAGCCACAGGTTTTATATGACTGGAAGTCAGAAGTTATGTCCCAGTCGCTGGAGTTTAATTATTATTTCAAGTGTCTCGGTGTTCTGTTGATGAGCTGGCCATCTTCGAATGACTTATAAAATAATAGACATATGTACTTCATAAATGATTGCTTCTTTGTTGCATGAAATTTGTTTTTCTTGTTTTCATTTCAGCAAAATTGCCAATCACATTCTAATCAAATTTTTACATAATCTTTGCTCTCCTGACCATAATGATATAAAAGATTTTTAAAACTGTACTTGTAATCAAAGTGTATAAAATCTATGTTTCATAAAAAAGTAAATCTGAAGAGAAAAATTGAAATTATTTTGTTATGTTTTCAAAGATTCTTCTTCCGGGGCCCCTGGGTGCCTCAGTCAGTTAAGTATCTGACTCTTGATTTTGACTCAGGTCATGATCTCACAGTTCATGAGGTCGAGCCCTGCTTGGGATTCTCTCTCTCTCTCTGTCAAAATAAATAAATAGACATATTTTTAAAAAGGTTTTTCTTCTAAAATGCTCTAAACTCTATTAAAACTAATAGGCTAAATATAAATTATAGCTAATGAATATATAAAATTTAAAATAATTTGAATGAATTTCACTCTTCGGAAGTATTTTTGTTGAAATTTAATTACATCTTGCCAAATATTTATTTATTTATATGTTTATTTATTTATTTTGAGAGAGAGAGAGCTTGCAAGTGGGGAAGGGACAGAGACAGAGGGAGAGAGAGAATCCCAAGCAGGCTCTGCACTGTCAGCGATCTCACTAACCGTGAGATCATGACTTGAGCTGCAGTCAAGAGTCGGATGCTCAACCGACCGGGCCACCAGTCCAGGCACCCTATTGCCAAATATTTTTTTAAATTAAAGTATCCGCCATCCCAGTGCACAGGGTCATGTAGCTGCCACTGTAAAGCATTGCTATCACGACACAGCACTATGTGTCCACCTGCATTACATACGTTTCCACGTGACATGCGTGGCCTGATAGGGCCCCGTGTGCCTTAGTCGCCCTGTGAAACCGTGGCCCACAGGCACCCCCACATCGTGAATTGGAAATGACCAGGCAGAAGGAAATGGGTATTGGGAATGAGTGCGAAGTGATTTGCTAAGCGAGACCTGGTGTGTCTCTGAGAGGAAGGGTCTGACAAGTTGATCCCTTCCTCCGACCACCACGCGACTGTGTGGCAGCAGCGTGGCACACGACCTTCTGCTATTTTGATGCAGGTGCCTTTTTTGCCAGGACCTGCGGCAGAGGATGCCGGGAAGCAGTTCACAGCGCAGAAAGGTGTTAGTTATGAGAATAGAGGAGAGAATTGCAACCCAGGAGCCAGGAGGCCAGTGCTGGGTGACTGGCAAGGGACAGAGGCACTCAGGCATCTTCCAACAGATTTGGTGTGTGTGTGTGTGTGTGTGTGTGTGTGTGTGTGTGTGTGTACTTTCATGTGCCTGTATGTATGCATGTGTGTTTGTGTGTCTCTTTGTGTACAGGCATCTGTGTGAACATGTATGTGTGTCTGTGTTTATGTGCACATGTGTATGGCTGTGTGTACACGTATGTGTGCCTGTGTGTGTGCGTGTCTGTGTGACACGCAGGTCCTCTGGAGCACGGGACCCAGGGTGGGGCCTTTCGCCTGCATCTCCGGCTGGTGCCGGTGGTGGTGATGCACTTCCTCTGTGTTCTAGTCTTTACACTTCGCCTCACCACAACCCTGGGAAGTCAGTGTTATTGTTTCTGTTTTACAGATGATGAAACTTAGGCTCAGCGCCCTGCCCAGAAAGCAACCAGCCAAGGCCATTCCACTACCCAGTTCACAGGATGACCCGCAAGCCCGAGGAGTCTCATGCTGTTGCTCCATGCTGCCGCCCAGTGGTGAGTTTGGGAACAGGCCCAGATGCCCTCCAGTCCCCAGTCCTGAAAACTGGCGTCTAGTTCTATGGATGCACCAAAGCTGACCTCGGTCGCCTCCTCTGACCATTTGTGCTTTGGTTTTCCAGAGCCTGCTGCTCTGCCCTCCCTAGAGGCACCCAGTTACCCAGAACCCAATCTTTAGGGTTTCTTTGGCTTCTGACCTGGATTTCTTGAAACTGAGAACACGCTCCCCTAAGATCCATCATTTGAAATCATCACTGCCCCGACGCTCAGGGGGGCTGCTCCTCAGAACTTAAGAAGCCTGAGACAAAGGCTGGAGGAAAGAATTCCAAACAAGGAGGTTCTGCCACTAACCCAGTGCACCCAATCCAGACCAACTCAGTAATATGGTGGAGCTGAACTACTGGAGAAAATCCAGAAGAACCCTGTCTGGGTCTGGGACAGTTCCGGAGATCTTTTCTCTAAGCCCTAGAGTCTTAATCCAAGAATGTGAATCTTGCTGTCCTACATCATTAGGAGATGATGTAGGTGATATCAGGAAGCCCACACATCCGTGGATTCCCTTACAGAGGAGAAATGCCAGCCCAGAGAAAT